AAGTAAAAGAGACAATTTTGATAGAAAATTCGTCACTGTATGAGTCTTTAATCTGTTTTCTTTCGTAAATAAACATCTTTATTGATTGAATAATTAAGATTAATAAATAATCAAAACACTAACGAGTTGCAAGAATTGTGGTCAAGGTTATCAAGCCTAGAAGTTGCTTAGAATAAAACAGTTATAAAGATCGTATTACTTTTTATCAACTCTCCTCTAATCGGCTGTTTGTTTCTTCTAGCCTGTCAATCAGCTTCAAGCTTATTAATATTCATGAGTATGGATTCATTGAGACAATAGTATAGGTATAAAAACCTTTGATCTTTTAGAGACTGTAGCAATGTCTGACAATGGCGCCAGTCCGTCTGACCTCTGTCAGGCCCGCTCGTAATCTTACCTTGAAGCAGACGCTTCAGTGGGTTGTTTGGTATCTGTCGATTTGTACCGACAATTCGTGGGGAACTAGCCAAAATCTTCTTGGGTACTCATTTACAATTACTCCGTTTAGTTAACGGTGAATTACCGCCGCAAATGCGGTTTTTGACTCCTTTCATAATCTTTAGTAATTAACCGGGTAACAAACAGTTATTGCCGATGGTTACCCGGTTCGTAAAATTCACTAACCGTGAAAAGGACATAAACTCTAAATATAGAAAATGTTTTTTTTAAAGATATTAAAATTGAATCAGATGAAGATATTAGTGAGAATTATAAGGTGCCAACATTAGAAGAGTTAGGTCAAGATCCATCATTATGTGGTCCAGTATTATATCCAGGTGGAGAAACAGAGAGTTTAAAAAGACTGGAGAACAGTATTGCTAAACCAGTAAGATATAAATATCACAAATCGTGGTCTGCTTTTTGTATGTAGGAATTTTGATGGCTCAATTAGTGAAACATTTGCCCTTTGACATTGAGATCTGTGGTAATATCTCATTCTGGATGTAGAATGGTCCTTATGGAGTTGATATAGACTGAGAGGCTGACATCCAAGTGTTTTACTTTCCTGTGTTGTGCTATAGGTCTAGTTAGTTGAATGTAAGTGGTTTAAATTGAATTGACTGAGAATTATCAATATTTATCTTTCCTTAGAGTTGGATTGCAAGTTTTGAAAAACCTAATACAGAACCCAATAGTTTATCACCAAGTACAACTGTATTGAGTCCTTATATCAAATTTGGTTGTCTGTCTCCCAGGCTATTTTACTGGAAAATACAAGAAGTTTATGATAAAGTCAAAGTGAGTATTCAGTATGATAATGTTATCCCTTACATTTGTATAAATATTTATTCCTCTTGTTTCTATTTCTCAAAAAGAAATTAATACAATCATGATTTATTGTGTTTAATGTAGAAAGATTCAAGGTACAGATTCAATATTGTGGGTGACCGCTTGAAACCTGGTATAACGATATATGACGCTAAATTACTTTTCGAGAAAAATGTAAAAAACTATTTGAACTCGTATTTTGTTGAAATCATTTTTACCATTTCTTTTACCACTATACATGGTTTTCATTCCTTGAAAATATAAACCTCGTATCACACTTTGAGTTCTTCGACCTAGTGAACCAAAAACTCGTATGATAGTACAGTATACAAGGTTTTTCATTTTCATCCCAGAAAAAGGAACATTGAATCTCGTATAATGTGATATTTTACGAGGTTTTAAATCTGACTGTTTTTATACGTGTTATTTAATTAGTGGTTTTTGAGTTATTTACAATCAAGCTAAGAATAAGAGGTTTTGATCACAAGATCTGCGCTTTTACGAGCTTTCGAACGGTATCAAAATGTCAAAATGACCAAATATGGCATATACAAGGTTTCAAGCAGTCACCCACGATATCCGTTTCACCATTCATACCATAGTCTTAGAAATGTGATTTTTTTTACCTAAGCTAATCAGTAATAGTGTTCACAGCTCATAACATATTTTAGTTATTGCCTTTGACTAAATACATCAAAATTGGCTTGTGAACCCTTCATGAATAATATGTATATTGTTGAGGAAACAGAGGAATATTTTTGTGTGAGTGTTTGTTATCACCCAAGGATGAACCCTATTGAAAATCAGAAACATTGAAAAATATTTAGTATGAGTTTTTGCCCTTGTACAATAAAATGCATTCAATTTTTAGCCTGTAAGCACTCTTGAAGGCACAATATTTGACTGATTTGATGAAATTTGGTGTGAGTGTTTGAAATGAACGCTATTGAAAATTAGAAAAATCAAAAAATATTTAGTATGAATTATTGCCTTTTTTCTTGTAATTACTTTGAATTTTTAACTATTTCATACAAGTGATAGTTACCGCACTGTAAAATATTTTTATTCAAAAGTTGCTAGTGGGTGTATATTACTTTGCCTGGCAAAGCTGTCTTAGTCTTTTCTGTGAAAGGTAAACTTTTTTCTTTATTTTAAAACAATTGAAATTTGTGCAATAAACTTTGATTGAATTTTTCTGCAGAAACATACAGCACCACCTGTCTCCCTCCATGGACAGTTGTTATTCCGAGAATTATTCTATACTGTAGGCTATGTTACACCTAATTTTGATAAGATGGTAGACAATCCTATATGTACACAAATACCTTGGCAAAATAATGAAGAGTATTTGAAAGCATGGAGAGAGGTTTGTTCATAATTTTTAACAAGACACAACTTCTTTAAAAAACAGGAGTGATTTTCATCAGAAATTTGTGAACAAAAAGATACTTTGGCATATTGAAACTGTTACATAACTCCCCTTTTACATTAGTTATGTGAACATTTTTGACAAACCCTGTTGATGTTGAAACAGCCCTTTGGTATGTAGAAAAAATACAAAAATCCTAATTTTAGTAGAATATGGATAGCATATGAATATATCTTACTTGTATTGGTAATATCAATATACAGAGGTAAGTTCAGACTTTGTAGTTTTAAAAACTATTCTGAATGTTTGTAGGGTAAAACAGGCTATCCATTTATTGATGCTATAATGACTCAATTAAGACAAGAAGGTTGGATACATCACCTAGCCAGACATGCTGTAGCCTGCTTCTTAACCAGAGGTGATTTATGGTGTCATTGGGAAGAAGGTCAAAAGGTTACCATTAATATTTTTGTTCTTTGACAAACTCTGTGGTAGAGTGGCAGAAAACAGTAACTCAAGAATTTACAGCTGTAATGGGTTGAAGATCACTAAGTTTTATTGTAGGCTTAATGAGGAATCAAGGCTGTGCATATATATATATATCTTGTCTGAAGATTCTGTGTGATATAAGTGGAGATGCAGGTCACTGGTTGGAATTGAAAAAGAGTATATATACTGTAAATACATGTAGAGCAAATTATAACGGGTTTTCACCTTGTTCTTTCTATTACCTCTTTCAGGAAACTTGATCAATTGCATTACCTCCTCCAAAGATCAAAAGATCTTCAAAATCAAACTTGACCAAGATCTCATCAATATAAATGATCACACCAAATTTCTTTAAAATCAGTTGAAAACTGGAGACTCTAATTGTGTTCACAAACAAATCTTGACATGTTTTTTCCTAAGTCAAGCGCAATAACTCAAAAACTGTCCATGGAAAGATCGTCACATTCAAACTGATCCAAGATCTCATCAGTATAAATGATCACATCAAATTTCTTTAAAATCAGTTGAAAACTGTAGTCTCTATTGTGTTCACAAGAAATGTTGACAGACCAACAGATAGGGGCGACGGCAATATACTCCACATTTCTATGTGGGCGTATGAAAATTACCTCTGTGGTTGTAATTACCTCAGGTTGGTGAAAAAAAACCTGAATTATAATGCATTCTGTTTTATGTTAGGTTTTTGAAGAATATTTACTTGATGCTGACTGGAGTTTAAATGCAGGTAATTGGATGTGGTTATCAGCTAGCTCATTTTTCTACCAGTATTTTCGTGTCTATAGTCCTGTTGCCTTTGGAAAAAAAACTGATCCTAATGGACTTTATATCAAGTGAGTATCTTTACAAGTGTAAGCAAACATACAGAATATGATAATGTGATAATATAATAATATTAGTGTTCTTCATAATATGTAGCCTCATGCCCAAAAATGATATACAAAAACATCACATTAACTTCAAACTTTATAGATAAATTTTATTTATTTATTAACATTATACCAGTATATATTAATTTTGATTACAGAAAGTATCTCCCAGTTCTGAAAAAATTGCCATCTAATTATATTTATGAACCATGGAAAGCTCCAAAAAGTGTTCAGGAAGCAGCAGGTTGTATTATCGGTAAAGATTATCCAAAAAGAATTGTTGATCATGATATTGTTAGACCTATTAATATTGAAAGAATGCATGAAGCTTATGCTAAACATAAAGCATCAAAGAGTAAAACTACAACAGATAGTAAGTCATGTTTATTACAGATATTTACAGAGGTTTTACACAGGGCCAAAACTATTTGACTTGCAGGCCAAATAACATTCTTTCCTGAATTTTCCTATACTTTTAGATAAATCTCAAGGGGACGTTTCCTGGATAATTTTCGAAATGTATTATATCGCACCTTGCAATTTGCAAATTTATCAATGACAACTGTCATTATGCACTTTTTGCATCTGTGACAGAAGCTAAGAAGAAGGTGTAAATGTCAGTTTTTAATTTCACGAATTATACAATGGTATAAGAATGTTAGATTATTTATTAGTGATATTCATTAAAAAAAAAAATAATTATCTCAAAATGACCATAAATGTTTACTATGAGTTTGTCTACATTTTTCATAACCTCTTCATAACTCGTACTGATTCTGCCACAAAATCATCTCAATGTAAGTTAAAAATTGAAATGAAATGAATGGCGTTTTACGTTACTCTTCTGCACATTGTGGGCTAATGAAGACGGGCAACGCCATGCAGGGTGCCATGAGGGAAATTTTGCTTGGACAGCGGCATTAGCCTGCTCTTTTTCGATTTCCAACCATGGAGGGATCTTAAACGTGCACAGCCTGTAGCACACAGGGCCTCAGTTTATTGTCCAATTCGAACGACTGAAGCTTTTTCCATGTCAGCCCCTCTTAGCCCCTCTTACCTGCATCACTGACAGGGGGAAACCCGGGTTGAAAAATCCGCAGGTATTATCTCGACCTATGCCGGGATTGAACCCTGGACCTTCAGGTTAGCGAGCACACTTCTAACTCACTGAGCCACTGCGGCTCCCAATGTAAGATAAAGATAAAAACCTTTTCATATTGAAAATAAAGCAAATGGATATCAATTCAGCTACACAACTCCAATGACCATTCTATTAAATTGTTGGTACCGGATACATTAAATTGATTGAAGCTTGAAAGGGAATCAAAATCAATTTGTTTCAGAACTTCAAGATATGATTTGCATTAATCTACCAATATGAAAAATTTGTATTTTTGTGGTTGTTTTTAAAAACAAATATTTCTACTGGTGATTATTATTGTTGTGCCATATTTTTATCCGCCCACATGAATATGTGGTCGTATATTGTCGTCGCCCCTGTCCGTCTGTCCGTAGGTCAACATTTCTTGCGAGCACTATAGAGACTACAGTTTTTATCTGATTTTGATAAAACTTGGTGTGATGCTTTAGATTGATAAAATCTCGATCAAGTTGGAATTTAACATATTTTCGATGAACGGTTTTTGAGATATTGCCCTTGACTTTGTTAAAATGCGTCGAAATTTGTTAAAAAATAGTTTGTGAGCAGGATTGAAGCTACAGTTTTCAACCGATTCTGATGAAATTTGGTGTGATCATTGGAATTGATAAGATCTCGGACAAGTTCTAACTTGACGTAATTTAGATGAACGGGTTTGAGTTATTGCCCTTGACTTTGTAAAAACGCGTTAAAATTTGTTCGTGAACACAATAGTAGCTACAGTTTTCAATCGATTCTGATGAAACTTGGTGTGATCATTGAAATTGATAAGATCTCGGACAAGTTCTAACTTGACGCAGTTTCGATGAACGGTTTTTTAGTTATTGCCCTTGACTTTGTAAAAACGCGTCAAAATGTGTTCGTGAGCACTATTGAAGCTACAGTTTTCAACCAACTTTGATCAAACTTGTTATGATCATTGGAATTGATAAGATCTCGGACAAATTCTAACTTGAGGCATTTTCGATGAACGGTTTTGGAGTTATTGCCCTTGACTTTGTAAAACGCTTCAAAATTTGTTTGTGAGCACAATCTATTTTGAGGAAACTTGGTGTGATCATTGGAATTGACAAGATCTCGGACAAGTTCTATCTTGACGAATTTTCGATGAACGTTTTTTGAGTTATTGCACTTGACTTTGTAAACATGCGTCAAAAGTTTTTTTTTTGCCCGTGATTAGAGCTGTGTGATTTAATTGTTTGTTGTATTTGGGTTATTGATATTGATTTTTTAAAATTTGTGTGGAATTACCCAGCATAAATAACTGGCATATATATATACACAGTCGAGTAACCTAATTTCGTGGAAACCTTTTATTCGTGGATTTCCGGAAAGGATTAATAATTTACATGAGCAACCTTGCGCGACCTCCGCATTAGTTTGTTTTAATAAACATTGCTTTTCTCTACAATATCAGCTAGTAGAATGAATCCATTAGTTGCAAGCAAGGTAAAATGTATTAATGTATATTTTGACAAATACAAAATGGCGGATTTCACTTATTACCAAACGTCACGATTTTTTATCGGCCGAATTTCCTTATAATCCCAAGCGGTAATCAGAATTCCAAGTGTTGTCTGCTAGAATGTAGTCCAACGAATGAAGTCACATGATCAACTAGCGGATTCCGTGTCAGCAGAAAATTTCTATGGAACACAAAGTGGACCATATTCTTCTGTTGTTTCAGTGACTTTTAGCAATAAATCACGCTACGTATCATATTTTGTCAGTCTCTATGGTTTTTTTTTAAATCGTGGTTCTTTGAAGGAATTGTCACTAGTTATAATGAATTGATATTAAAGATAAATACTAAGAGAAGTTAATTATACCACACGGTATCCATACAACGTGTTTTTCTAGACTTATTTGTAGATCAAACATTGTACACGAAAATAGGTGACGCATTCTGCCGCCGTTGCCGAGTTGGTTGCTCATGAAATATGGGTCAAAGTGAAGGATTCATAAAGAAAATCGAAATAAACCAATTTTAATTATTTGGTAGAATATCTGAGGAAACCTCTAAGACATAATTTTTTTTTTCCTTTTTCTTAACTTTGACGAAATTCGGTATATATATATATAATTGATTTCAAACTAATAAAATTTCTTCAATATTCGAAAATTTGTACTTTAGTCACTAAAGACTGTTTTATCATTTCTGACAGCTGCCAGTGGGCGTATGTTACCTTGCCTCGCAAGCTATCTTCTTATTTGAAGTCAAAGCTGCCAGTGGGTGTTTTTTGCCTTGTCTGGAAAGTATTCTTTTTAAAGATTGCATGGTTATATTCCCCTTTCCTTGCAACATGTCCTTTATGTTACAAATCAGTGCACTGAATATTTGATTGTATTGTGGTATTTTATAGGTGATGGTAAACGTAAAAGTAGTCAAGAAGAATATCAACCCTCTACAAAGAAAAGGAAAAAGGACACTTCAAAGAAAATTACAGACTTTATGAAATGATTTCTAAATATGTAAGAAAATTAAACAAAATGCTGAAACAAATTTATACTTTACTAAATCTTCCACTTTTTGGGATGACCTTAACACTAATATTGTAACACTAGATGTATCTTCAAGGTGTTTCAAATTACAGCTTCCTCAACAACAGCATTAAACTAAAATACATTGGACTAAAACTAAAAGGTTCAACAGGTTTCTGAGCCTGTAATTGTTAAATTTAGATAGAGTTATAAGCATGTGCATACGTACAAAACATAATGCTATGGCATTGACAAAAAAATAAATACAGTGGTATCATTTCTGTAATCACGAAAAAGGCAGAGTATCAAGGTCCTTTTTACTGAGTACTTCAGTAACATCACAAAGGTCATTGAGACTTGGTATACTGTACCATCATTGTTTCACTGTATTTCCTTTCCTCTGAGATCTACTTGTAATGGCATTTAATGATGGCAGAAAAATCAATAGTTTTCAATTTTTAGCTTGTAAGCACTCTAGAAGGCACAATTTTTGATGGATTTTGACAAAACTTGGTATGAGTGTTCGTAATCACCCAAGGATGAATCCTATTGAAAATCAGAAGAATCGAAAAATATTTAGTATGAGTTATTGCCCTTGTTCTTGACAACGTTTTCAATTTTTAGTTCATAAACACTCTAGAAGGCACAATTCTTGACGGATTTTGACGAAACTTGGCATGAGTATTAGTTATCACCCAAGGATGAACCCTATTGAAAATCAGAAAAATCGAAAAATATTTAGTATGAGTTATTGCCCTTGTTCTTGAAAACGCGTTCAATTTTTAGCTCTTAAACACTCAAGAAGGGACAATTCTATCGGAAATCAGAAAAATTGGAAAATGTTAAGTATGAGTTATTGCCCTTGCTCTTGAAAACGTGTTCAATTTTAGCTTGTAAACACTCTAGAAGGCATAATTCTTGATGGATTTTGACGAAACTTGGTGTGAGTGTTTGTAATCACCCAAGGATAAACCCTATCGAAATCAAAAATAATTGAAAAAATATTTAGTATTAGTTATTGCCCTTGTTCTTGACAACGTTTTCAATTTTTAGTTCATAAACACTCTAGAAGGCACAATTCTTGACGGATTTTGACGAAACTTGGCATGAGTATTAGTTATCACCCAAGGATGAACCCTATTGAAAATCAGAAAAATCGAAAAATATTTAGTATGAGTTATTGCCCTTGTTCTTGAAAACGCGTTCAATTTTTAGCTCTTAAACACTCAAGAAGGGACAATTCTATCGGAAATCAGAAAAATTGGAAAATGTTAAGTATGAGTTATTGCCCTTGCTCTTGAAAACGTGTTCAATTTTAGCTTGTAAACACTCTAGAAGGCATAATTCTTGATGGATTTTGACGAAACTTGGTGTGAGTGTTTGTAATCACCCAAGGATAAACCCTATCGAAATCAAAAATAATTGAAAAAATATTTAGTATTAGTTATTGCCCTTGTTCTTGACAACGTTTTCAATTTTTAGTTCATAAACACTCTAGAAGGCACAATTCTTGACGGATTTTGACTAAACTTGACATGAGTGTTAGTTATCACCCAAGGATGAACTCTATTGAAAATCAGAAAAATCTAAAAATATTTGTAATGAGTTATTGCCTTCGCTATTGAAAACGCGTTCAATTTTTAGCAGGTAATCACTTTAATGAAACTTGGTGTGAATGTTCGTAATCACCCAAGGATGAACCCTATTGAAAATCAGAAGAATTGAAAAATATTTAGTATGAGTTATTGCCCCTGTTCTTGAAACAGCTTTCAAATTTAGCTCTTAAACACTAAAAGGCATGATTCTTTCTGGATTTTGACAAAACTTGGTTTTATTATTCAGTCCTGAAGACAGGCCCGTAGCTAGCCCGGAGTCTCAGGGGGGGGCAAATTTTTTTTAAGGGGGGCTCAACCATATGATTCAAAAAGTCAATAAAGAAACTATATATATACATTGAAAATATGTGTTTAAGTGTTTCACGGGGTTGACAATCAACAATGATAATAATCAATAATTACACCAGCTGTAAGTGAGGGAGTTGTACAGCAAACCTACTTATAAAACAGTTTAAGTCAATTCCTGCTGTTATTTGGTGTTCAAAGGCCATCAGAACTAGGGAAACTTGTCTTGGTTGAGACATGCTGCGTCGCGTAGGCCTTTCTAACCGTGTTAAAGTGGAAAGATAACATACGCCCACTACCAGCAGTCATAATGAAAAAATCTTTAGTGGCTTAATTATAAATTTTCGAATAATCTTAAAATCATCCATTTTTTCAAGGCAAAAACCTGAAACAGTTCATCAAGTTATCATGAAATTCAAACATGAACAATGTCTCATAGCTGTACACACAAGGGCAATAACTCGAAAACTATTGATTTGATTATCACCAATTTCTAACTTGACCGAGATCTCATCATGCATATCAAGTTTCATCAAAATTGGATAAAAACTGTAGTCTCTGTTGTGCCTGCAATCCGAAGAAAGTTTTTACTAAGTCAAGGGCAATAACTTTGAAACCGTTCATCCGATTATTATCAATTTTGAACTTGACCGAGATCTCATCAATATACATGTATACATGAATACCATCTTTCATCAAGTTCGGATAAAAACTGTAGCAACTAATGCGCCTACAAGAAATGTGGGCGTATAAAAACCACTTTCGCATACTGCAGTACAAGAGCCGAAAGTGGCGATATCTGACGCTAAACTGTAAAGCTTACGAAAGGCAGATTTCTTTTTGGAAAAAACAATTAAAAGCCTTAGAATTGCTCTTTGTCTATATAAAACGATAAAAACGGGACATATATTTATTAGGCGTCATTGTGAACACAATAGAGACTACAGTTTTCATCCGATTTAAGTGAAATTTGGTATGATCATTTATAATGATGAGATCTTATTCAAGATTGAATTTGACAATTTTTTGATCAACAGAATTTGATCATGACTTACTAAAAACTCTTCAAAATTTGTTGGCGATAGAGTAACAGTTTATGTCAGAATTTTATTAAATAATGTGTGTTTGTTTAAATCAACAATATCTTGCACAAATTAAATTTTTGGTATGATTTGACACAGATAGGTTACTGCCCTTGATATACTGAAAATGTATCAGGAAAGTGAATTGAATTGATACCCCTCAAGAATACAGGCTGTAGCAAAAACAAAAATATTATATACTCAGGGAGAAACTTATATAAATACCTGTTCTGAATCTATTTTAGTTTATGTTGTGGAAGGGATAGACTAATACTCTTATCATACATGCTGCATGACCATATTGCACGATATTTTACCTGAATCATTTTTGAATTTAGATGAATATAGCAACTATTTTTGTTTATTACTTATTTATATTTTCAATGCATAAAAATAAAGGTCTCATACTATAATATTTTGTTTGAACTCTCATTTGTTTTATTGTATTATTTTTTTTATTAACTTGATAGCATTCCAACCTCTGATGGAAGTGCCCTCTGTGGTATTCTGGGGTGAATGTGTCCATGCTGATCTACACTGACCAGTTCATTTTATTCAACATCGTTAAAATGCAGAACATGAAATTTTGTGAATTTTTTTTATTTATTTAATTATTCTGAGAAAGATAGTTTTCCAGGCAAGGTAACATATGCCCACTACCAGCTGTCAGAAATATAACTGTTCATCCGATTGTTACCAGTTGACGGAGATCTCATTAATATATTATACATGCATACCAAGTTTCATCAAGATTGGATAAAAATTGTAGGCCTAGTATCTATTGTGCCTATAAGCCAAAATTAGCACGTTTTCACTACATCAAGTGCAATAACTTTGAAACCATTATCAATTTTAAACTCGACTAAGATCTTATCCATACATACATGCATACCAGGTCTCATCATCATCGGATAAAAACCGTATCCTCTATCGCACCGAAAATGCAAATTTGACACCTTTCTACTAAGTCAAGGTCAATATCTCTGAAATCGTTTATCCGATTATTACCAATGTGGAACTCGACTGAGATTTCATCACTTTAAGCATGCATACCTAATTGCATAAAGATCGGATGAACACTGTAGTTTCTATCGTACCTACAAGCCAAATTTGATGCGTTTCTATATCTCACATGGCAATGTGGACGTATATTGCCGTCGCCCCTGTCCGTCCGTCCACATTACTTGTAGGCACAATAGAGGCTACAGTTTTTATCCGATCTTGATGAAACTTGGTATGCATGTATATTTTGATGAGATCTCGGTCAAGTTCGAAATTCATAATAATCGAATGAATGGTTTCGGAGGTATTGCCCTTAGAAAAACAGGTCAAATTTGCCTTGTAGGCGCGATAGAGGCTATAGTTTTTATCTGATCTGGATGAAACTTGGTATGCATGTATGTATTGATGAGATCTCGGTCAAGTTCGAAATTAGTAATAATCTGATGAACCTTTTGAGAGTTATTGCCCTTGACTTAGTAAAAACCGGCAAATTTGGCCCTGTCTGTCCGTCCATCCACATAACTTGTAGGCACAATAGAGGCTACAGTTTTTATCTGATCTTGATGAAACTTGGTATGCATGTATATTGATGAGATCTCGGTCAAGTTCGAAATTGGTAATAATCGGATGAATGCTTTTAGAGTTATTGCCCTCAACTTACAAAAAAGGGGTTAAATTTGCCTCGATAGAACTGTAGTCCCTATTGTGCTTACAATAAATGTAAACGGACAAACAGGGGCGATGACAATATACGTTCACATTTCAATGTGGGCGTATAAAAATTCATGTGGAGAAAATACCGTTAGAGTTGGGAACGAAACAGTCTAATTAAAAATTTTCTTTCCGTTTTGTATTAGCTTTCATTTCTGAGGTTGCCACTTCAGTTAGGGTCTTAACACAGCCCTCTGGAACATTCGTCTGTTTGATAACACTACCAGCCATTCAAATTCCTGGCCTCTTCAACGCTTGAATTTTGCGACTCAAATAAAAGGTGCGCCTTTTGTTCGCATTTCCATGTGGGCGTATCAAAATGAAATGAATGGAGTTTTACGCCCTGCATTACTGACCTTTGTAAACGTGGTATCAAAAAATTCTACGCAATTGTGACTAACGTTGGCAGTAAGTTTAATGGATGGATGGGGATTATTGAGAATTTCACAGAATTGCCATAACAGGTCTATCGAGTATGTCCAGACCATGAAAATATCAAGAAAACAACTATAAAACATTAAAACAATGGGTCAAAATTTGGACAAAGGGGTAACTAATACCTCTCTGATAATACCACACTGTCATGAAAAGGTTTGCGTATGAAAGGGCGAATGGCCTGTAGTAGTTTAAGATATATTTTACCATTAAATATAAAATCATTTAAAGCCTTGAATAAAATCTCGCGTGTACCCGTCGCGTTTCATAATAATTATCAAACTTGTTTTCAAGTGCACCCTCCGCACGTTTCGTTTTTTTTGTTAGTTTTTATACGTTCTCAATAGAGGCTACAGCTTTTATCTGGTCTTGATGAAACTTGGTATGCATGTATATATTGAAGATATCTCGGTCAAGTTCGAAATTGGTAATAATTGGATGAACGATTTCAGGGTTATTGCACTTGACCTAGTAAAAACACTCTTTAGACTACAGTTTTTATCAGATCTTGATGAAACTTGAAAATATATTGATGATATCTCGGTCAAGTTTGAATTTGGTAATAATCGGATGTTTTTGAGTTACTGCTTTTGACATAGTTAAAACGCTTCAAATTTGGCTTGTAGTCGTGATACAATGCAGTTTTTATCCGATCTCGATGAAACTTGGTATTCATGTATACATTGATGTGATCTCAAGTTAAAAAATATCAATAATTGGATGAATGATTTTGGAGTTATTCCCCTTAATTAAATCAGTGTGCCTAATTTAGCATGTAGGCACAGAGGGCCTCGGCTTACTGTCCCATCCGAACGTCTAGATGCTTTTTCCATGTCAGCCCTTCTTACAGGCTGCATCACTGACAGGGAGAAACCGGGTTGAAAAATCCGAAGGTATTATCTCGACCTAAGCCAGAATTGAACCCTGGACCGCGAATTAATGGCCATCGGATACACCAATTAGGCCAATGTAGCCTACTTAGGCCTCTATTATCAATACATTTAGGCTTTAACCAACTTCTTTGATTTCCGGAAATACTTATTTCAGAAATATTTCAGGACTGGTGCCAATGCTATAGGCCTATACAATATATTTGTGTCGTCAGAGTTTAGTAATGTGTGTGTCTTTTCAACTATAATCAGACTAATTTTCACATTTAAGCTTAGGCCTGAAAATATGTCGCTCTATCACCCAGGCGAGCGCTTTCATAGCCCATATTTCTACTCTGTCACACATGTCCGATCCATAGATATCCTACAAATATTATATATTTATGGGATCAGACTGTAATGACTACTGTCGAATGCCTGTGTAGCCTATATTCGAATGCCTTTATCTTCCATGATGTCCCGGAAATTGACGGAAGCATGTGCGTGCGCAGGTGGAAATTTAACTTCCTGTAAAATAAAGCAAGACGAAGTCCGATTTATGAAACAGCTGATTAAGAATAGAAATACGTCTATATTTGAAATGAATAATTTATGACTTGATTTAATTTAAAGTGTTTTGATCATCATGACTGTCGTTTTATCGACACATCAGTTACAAAAACTGTCTGAGCACAAGTACAGTGCTGAAGGAACTTCTGTGTTGGAGCCAGGGTTTCAAGTATTTTGGAGGTGGCTTGTTGAGAAAGTTCCCTTATGGCTTGCACCAAATACCATAACAAGTGTGGGATTAGCAGTCAATATACTGACTACAATGATATTGGTATTCTATAGCCCAGATGCAAAGCATCACGTAAGTATTTTCATTGTCCAAAGAACTTGAATCATTCTGTTAGTTATTGACATCATCAAATATGTAGCATTGTACTACATTAAATGTAGCACGATAGTAAGCAGTGGTGTCAACAGTATCTGGTCAACAACATCAAATTGCTGTCTGAAAGAATCGCCTACTTATCTTTGGATGACTTTTATTTTCTCCTAACATTTTGTTTCTATGAAATGAGGTCTGCATTACATGCGATAAAATGCTCTATTTAAACAGAAAAACACTGTGTCATATGCACTATTATGCGATAATAAATCACGATTCTTTGATTAAAAGGGAAAGAAAAAGAAAACTGATAATTAATAACATTTTAACACAGTTTAAATTATTTTGGTACGCTTAGAAGTACAAAATTCAGTTTTCATCATTTGCTACACACAAGGACTAACAAATTTCTTCTAAAAAATAAATAAATTCCCAAACCATCAAATACAGCCTCGTGGAATTATTTTATGACTATGCAAACACATATTACGTTGGAAAAAGAAAAAGTTTGTATCAGTCCCCATGCGTTTGTCTTCCACTTGACATAATAATACGTTCTCTTTTCATCGTTTATAACAAAAATTAAAAATGCTCAAGATAAATTAATACGTGAAAAGCAATTCTTTAACATTTGAACATGACACAATTTCTAAAATACGCGAGGATTCCGTGCTATTAGTCATTAAAGGGAGTTAATTATATTTATGAGAATCGGGCCGATGTATCGCGATTATTTTTTTTCTTCCGCAATGCATCGATAAGAAGGAACGAATCGCGGTTCATCGATTCAATGGTGAATCGTTGCAGCCCTACTGTAGATTAATTACAATATCAAAAATTGTTATATTTCATCTGGTACTAATCCCCAAATTAGATTACTGTAAGTAACCTAAACACAAATCTAGATCATTTTCAACTTATTTTTTGTCCGATTTTTAATGAAAGAAAAGTTATAATTCAATTAGCTTTACTACAAATTCAAAGAGAATCGATTGGAAGATCGAGACGTCTTTTGTCATTGACGCGCTATAATCATGTCATTTTGACCAAGCCTCATCTTGTACATCACGCAGATTCTGTAAACATGCCAGATTTCAGTCATGGATTTCAGTAAAACGTTTGCTTTTATTTCTGCAATTGGCTGAATGGAGTCAAAAAAAGGAGAATGATAAGATTGTTGAATTCTGTTATATTGCGTAAAATTAGAATATATTAGTCATATTATTCAACACTAGATTTAATTAAATTGATAAAGAAAAAATCCGACCAGATTCAAAGAATTTATCCCTTTCACATCATTTCATATCAACTTCCTATCCATAACCTATTTTCACGCTGATAATGTTGAGTTGGAAATTATGATACTACTTGTGCTAATCAAAACATCCTGCAGTGCTTATAAATTTAATATATTTTATGCGACTGATTGACTTATTATATATATTAGATTTGGACAAACGATTTGGCCAACACTGTTTATAATTTGTTTTTGAGGTGATTATCCAGACTGTACATGTCTTCTACAGGTGCTAGTAGCGTTGATGGAAAATAGATTAAGTGAACACACAAGCACATTTCGGACACAATTCGTTTATTTTACTTTCTACTGTATCGATAATTCTGCACCGGATCTTTAACAGACATCAGTTTATTGTCCGGAGGTCTAGACGCTTTTTCCATGTCAGCCCCTCTTACCTGCATCACTGACAGAGGGAAAAATATTGAGGTTTCATCTTGACCTATGCCAGGATTGAACCTTGGACCTTTGGGTTAGCGAGGAAGCGTCTAACCTACTGAGGCACGGCGGCTCCCAAAATTTCCTTGGTCCGAATCTCAAAAAAATTTGCTTAGGCATGATTCACAGTCTGGAAATAAGTGGTCTAGGTGTGTCATAAACAGTGGTCTGAGTGTGTTATAACAAGTGGTCCTGATTGCGATTATCTACCTTTTTTGTGGGAGGGCCAAAGCGAAATTTGTCATTTTTGACAGCCATCAAAACTGTTTCTGTTCTCTGTGTTACGGTAACTGAGGTGTACCAACGGTATTTAGCTTTATGGTTATGAATCCGCTTGCAACAGTTACGCCATTTCAGGTTAACGCTTTCTGGTGTTGCTGGAACCACAGGCATTTGACAAAGAATTGGTATGTCCCAAATAGAAGTCAAAGTTTCCAATACGCATTAAAAGGCTAGAAAACCTCTTTAGAATCCCTTTAGGACTCTGCCATATATAGGAAAGACATACTGGTACGGTATATAGAAATGAAAAGAAAAATTCATAGTTTGAGGTATTTATGAAGAAATTATTCATTATACAATTTTCATACATTTCTAGTACTTCTGTTAAGACTAGTTTCATATATTAAAAGCCCAAATCAACCCCTGAAAATGTCCCTTTAACTTGATAACTTAGACATTCACCTTTGACCGTAGTTATGTAAAAATTGTGTTTGGTCTGTGATTAGTATTTCCTGGTAGTATGTGATAACTGTGTACAATGACTATGATAAGGTTATCACACTTAAACAGAGGCCACATTCAATGCTTGATTTAGATAATTATAAGTAAACATTGAAACTGGATGGATCATTTTTATATGTCCACTTGAAAGTGTGTTTGTATATTGCCGTCCCGTCCATCTGTCAACATTTATTGTGGGCACAATAGAGACAACGGTTTGCATCTGATTTTGATGAAACTTGGCGTGAACAGATTTTGAGTTATTGCCCTTGATTTAGTAAATTTACATCAAAATTTGTTTGTAGGCACTATGGAAGCTACAATTTTCTATGAATTTTGATAAAACCTATTGTAAGCATTTTTTTATACGCCTATATGAAATGGGGTTGGGTATATTGTCGTCGCCCATGTCCGTCATTCCGGTGTCATGGTTCCTCCGACAAGATATTCGAGACTTGATAGTTGCGAATTGACAGCAAATGTTTAGCTATCTGACTGTGGCGAGTTTTATTTTCCTTGTGAGTTCAGATTTTGTCGGCGACTACATTTTCGAATTTACCATTGGAATGTGGAATTCATATTTCCCCATAATTGTATTTTATAAACACTGTTCCTCATATCGATCAAGTGTCTATGAGATAAATGATATTGTACAGACTGATATGATAAACGGTTAGGCCTAAAGGCCTATATGACCTAAATTTAAATTTCCAGCAAAAATTTGCGAAGGATTAAATTCGCTACGTGTCGCTTCTGTGAGTGGAGATGGGTCGCAAAATGAACTAGTGGTCTTCTTGTCATTTGACCATAAATTGTTTGAATAGTGTGCCGCAGGCGGAACATTTCGGGACTTAGATGTTCTCTGATGCCAAATTGTGCCTATTTTACATCCATTACAGACACTACTCAACCAAGCTTATCCATTTGTGCGAGGATGAACCCTATTGAAAATCAGATGAATCAAACAATATTTAGTATTTATAAGTTATTGCCCATGTTCTTGAAAACTCATTCAATTTTTAGCTCATAGACACTCTAGAAGGTACAATTCTCGAAGGATTTTGACGAAACTTGGTGTGAGTGTTTGTTATCAACCACGGATGAACCGTATCAAAAATCAGAAGAATTGAAAAATATTTAGTAGGAGTTACTGCCCCTGTTCTTGAGAACAATGTTTAGCCCCAATCTTAGAAGGCATTTTGACGAAACTTGGCCTGAGTGTTTGTTATCACCCAAGGATAAACCCTACTGAAAATCAGAAAAATTGAAAAATATTTACTATGAGTTATTGCCCTTGTTCTTGAAAACGCGTTCAATTTTTAGTTCATAAACATTCTAGAACTAGAAGGCTCAATTCTTGACAGATTTTGACAAAACTTGTTGAAATTGTTTATTATATCCAATGGATGAACCCTATTGAAAATCAAAAAAAATTATTTGAAAACGCTTTCAAATTTTAGCTCTCGATCACTAAAAGGCGTGATTCTTGCCGGATTTTGACAAAACTTTTATTTAGTACCGCGTCAAAGGTTGAATATTTACCTTACTATTGTTTTCACAAGCTAAAAATTGAACACGTTTTCAAGAACAAGGGCAATAACTCATACTCAATATTTTCAGTATCGCCCTAAAGAGTTCAAAAGAAGTGTATGACTGAAAGTTGAATATTTCATACTGGTGATTGTTACTGTACTGCCAAATATATTGTGGTAGAATCACCCAAGGATGAACCCTATTAAAAAGCAAAAATTCTCAAAATTACAATTGATAAAGTATTGAGTAAGGAGTTGATTACTTTTTTATTGAAATATTGAATAGAAACTTGACAGATTAATCATTATGATTCTTGTTTCTCCTTATTGAGTCTAAAAATTTAACAAAGCTGCTGTGTGGACATATGTTTACCTTGCCTGGCAAGCTATTTTATTAGAATTCTGATAATTTTGCTTCATCTAGTGGACTATTTACGATGGCTGCGGGTAGAATGTAGATAACATTTAAAAATGAAAAGTACACAAAAACAAAATTTCAATTTGTGAATTGTACAAAATCTGTTGTACCAGTAATTATTTGTTATTAATTTGAATAATTCTGCTAACTGTGTAATTTGAATATAGATTATCTGAAGTAAATGAATAATCGCTGTAGTGTTAAATGAAAATATAATAATTCATGATGAATATATACATATTGTGCATATCATGGATAAATGAAAAGTTGACAAATCCAATTGCCAAAAAACTCAAATTCAATTCAATCGTTCTGTCTGTCTATCTGTAGCTTATGGATTTTGAAAAATTTGGTGTGAGTGTTTGAAAACACCAAAGGATGAACCCTATTCAAAATCAGACGAATGGAATAATATTTAATGAGTTATTGCCCTTGATCTTGAAAATTTGGAAAATTTTTACTTTGCAAAGTTCGGAATACCAAGAAGAGTGGCATCACAACTTGTTATGAACAAACTGTATATTCCTGCAAGGGCAGTTGTGTAACTAATCATTGTCGGTGTAAATGTGCAGGACTTGCTTGCTCAACCAAATGTCATACTTCAACTGTAGGTGTGTGTCAAAACAGAGGGTGATGTGAACTATGTGGACTTTTGTATTGTAATGTAATGTGCTAATATTGCTACTAAATGTAATTTACATTTACATTGTGATGTTATATTGTGCTTATGAGCTATTATGTGCTATATATTGTGATGTTAAGTTTTTATTTTATGCCAGAATTTAGTGATATTTATTATGTTTTATATATGAATAAAGTGCCTTTTTTAAATATAATTTGTTATTCATTTTTCAATATAATACAAAATCAAAATATTACAAGACAAGACAAACAACAGTCCTAGTTAAATTACAATTTCGGTTAAGTTAAATTTAAAATTGTCCTAGGACAGGCTCCAATTACAATTTGAGTTCACGCTAGGACAAACTTCAATTTTAGTTTCTCTTAGGACAATTTGATAATAATAATTGCCCTTGCTTGTAGGCATGATGGAGGGTGCAGTTTTTATCCAATCTCGATGAAACTTGGTGTATATATGGACAAGATCTCAGTCAAGTTCGAAATTGGTAATAATTGGATGAATGGTTTCGGAATAATTACCCATGTATTCTTTATGAGATCACAGTAGTGTTTGAAATTAGTAACAATCCGATGAATGGTTTCGCAGTTATTGCCCTTGACTTTCTAAGGAATATGTCAAATTTGGCTTGTATGCACGAATTATGGAACTCTAAGCACAGGAAAGTGTGTAAATTTTGAAAAAAAAAACTTGAGCCACAGTGGCACAGAGTGGGACTTTGCAAATGTAGCAATTTGCTAAAGAAGGTCTAAAAAGTTCAAGATCAAGAGATATAAGTCATTAAAATTTCAAATTGCACACGGCTATAAAACCGAAAGTGGACCTAGTACAGCAAATATAAAAGTATAAATAGATAGCCAATGCCAATGACATTTGATCCTAGAAAGGCCAAGGTCAAAAATTGAAAATTTTGAATTTCAAAAATCTGTTTCCTTTTTTGAACTATGAAGCGGAAACAACCGAAATTCTGAGACAAAGTGGCTCAAAACATGAGGTAATTGTGTAAAAAGTTCCATTTTGAACAAATGTATACTTTGCGAGTTATGCCCCTTGCCAAAAATGTCAATAATGAGTAATTTAACCCGAATGTGCCGCGCCCACCTCAATTTTTTTTGCATAGGTTAATTGATATTCAAAATGTTATGTTGTGTTCCAAATTTCAAGCTTTTACATAATACAGGTCAAAAGATATAGGTCGACAAAAGTCAACAAAGGTCAAAATCGAAAAAATGAAAATATCCAAATGTTAATACCCGTTCTTTTTGTGGAACTATAAAGCTGAAACAACTGAGCTGTTGTAAACATTAGTAATTCAACCCGGATGTGCCACGCCCACCTCGATTTTTTTGTCATTGATGAATTCCTATTCAAAGTGTCTAGTTGTATTCCAAATATCAAGGTTCTACATCGAGTAGGTCACAAGATATACATACACCAAGCTCAAAGAGACAGAAATATTGTAAAAAACACGCAAATTTGAAAAAAATCACCTAATTCAATTTTGCTTTAAAAAAACGATTGTTATATATCACTGGAAAGAGCATGAAAGCACATTAAGAATCTGAAAAAATTAACCTTCATGGTTAATTAGGCCCCATACTAGAGCAGTCCAAAGTTGGCGGTATTCAAACATCCATAAAACCGAAAGTAGATGTCGGAGGTCAAATATGAAAATATCAGCTGATAGCCAAGGTCAATGAACTTTCATCCAATAAAGGTCAATACCAAAGTATCATTGCCGGAATGGATTTTATTTTAAAATCAGCCGTAGAATTTTATTTGCTAAAGATCAGCTAAATTTTGTTGACCTACATAAATTACACCGGAAGTTATTCAACCGGAAGTAGATTTGAAATTCAGTCGCTTTCCTGTTTAAAAGCGGAAATGATGTACACAATTTGACTGTACCATGCTATTAATATTAGTAAAGTTTCTTTGCATTTAAAATTTCAGATCAATTGATGCAAAAACAAAAAAGTTGCTAAAAAATTTTAAAATTTGATGGAAAAAAGTGAGCTACACATTTTCGAATTTCTTAATTTTTCAAGTGCTATCAGGTCAGAAATTACAGGTAGATTGTAAAAATGAAAACCCGAAGAAAATCGATGCAAAAATGCAGCTTCTAGAGCCAATATTCGACTTTTTTGCACATGTTGAACTGTGGCATTTCCGGCTTTGCAAAAATGATCCAATATATATTTAAGGAACACGTTGCCACTACGAAGGTCTAGGGAATTGGAAAGGTTGCTGCAACTAAGCACGGGAAGATGGGTAAATTTCGAAAAAAAAAAAAATTGACAATTTCTACAATAAACAGCCCTGGACACAATAGAGACTACAGTTTTTGTCCGATCTTGATGAAACTTGGTATGCATGTATATACTAATGAGATCTCAGTCAAGTTCGAAATTGGTAATAAGCGTTATCAATGAGACCTTGTTCATGTTTTGATACGATGATAACTTGATGAACTGTTTCAGGGTTTTTCGTTGACTTATAGGTGTTTTTAAGATTATTAGAAAATTCATTATTAAGCCAGTACAGAATTTGATATCATTTCTGACAGCTGGTAGTGGGTGTATGTTACCTTGCCTCGCAAGCTTTTTTTTGAAAATGTGTTGTGGACATGATAGAGAGCTGGCTTCTTGATAGATTTTGATAAAATTTGACATTCCAATTCTTCGTTTGTTTCATCAAAATCCGTCAATTGTTCCTTTCTAGACCTAATTTGCACATGTTAGTATCATACAACTTTTCCATTCTGTTAAAACTAATCAATATAAGATGAAGTTATAAGGCAACAGTGAAGCAACATGTGAATGAGTTGGCAATTTTAAGTTAAGAATTTCCCATTTTGGTAGGGGTCTTGATCATTTCTGGTTAAATCTTTCTGGAATTGTAGGACCCACAGGCATCGAACGATGAATTGGAATGTCCCAATAGAAGTCAAAGGTGTCCCCTATACAGATAAAAAGGCTAGAAAACCTCTTAACTATCCCTCTAAGGATGAACTCTATTGAAAATCAGACAAATAAAAGAATGTTTGATATGGGTTATTGCCCTTGTTCTTGAAAAAGTGTTCAATTTTTATATGCCAACATGAAATGGGGGCCCTATTTTGTTGTCACCCATATCCGTCCGTCGGTCTGTCCACAATTGCTCGTTAACACTCTAGAGGGCACAATTCTTGACCATTTTGACAAAACTTGGTATGTTTGTTTGTAATAACCCACGATGAACCCTATTCAAAATCAGAAAAATCGAAAATATTTAGTATGAGTTATTGCCCAATTCTTCATGGATTTTGACGAAACTTGGCATGAGTGTTGGTTATCACCCAAGGATTAACACCATTGAAAACCAGAAAAATCGAAAAATATTTAGCATGAGTAATTGCCCTTGTTCTTGAAAATGCGTTCAATTTTTAGCTCAAAAACATTATTAGGCACAAAACTTGGTGATATTATTCAGTATCGGCCCCTAAGTGTTTAAAAGAAGTGTTTGACTGAAGGTTGAATATTTCATAATGGTGATTGTTACTGGTACTGCCAAATATACAGTGGTGTAACCTATTTTCGTGGATATAAGGATTCAACACTGAATTTCGTCATAGTTAAAAAAAAACGAAAAAAAAAATTTATGTCTTGGATGTTTCCTCAGATATTTTTAATGAATCCTTCACTTTGACCCATATTTCATGAGCAACCAACTCGGGAACGGCGGCAGAATGCGTCACCTATTTTCGTGTACAATGTTTGATCTATAAATAAGTCTAGAAAAACACGTTGTATGGATACCAGGTGGTATAATTAACTTCTCTTAGTATTTATCTTTAATATCAATTCATTATAACCAGTGACAATTCCTTCAAAGAAGCACGATTTAAAAAAAAAATTGTGACTGACAAAAATAAGATACGTAGCGTGATTTATTGCTAAAAGTCACTGAAACAACATAAGAATATGATCCACTTTGTGTTCCATAGAAATTTTCTGCTGACACGGAATCCGCTAGTTGATCCCGTGACTTCATTCGTTGGACTACATTCTAGCAGACGACACTTGGAATTCCGATTACCGCTTGGGATTATAAGGAAATTCGTCCGATAAAAAATGGTGAAGTTTGGTAATAACTGAAATCCGCCATTTTGTATTTGTCAAAGTATACATTAATACTTTTTACCTTGCTTGAAACTAATGGATTCATTCTACAAGCTGATATTGTAGAGAAAACCCATGTTTATTAAAACAAACTAATGCGGAGGTCGCGCAAGGTCGCTCATGTAAATTATTAATCCTTTCCGGAAATCCACGAATAATAGGTTTCCACGAAATTAGGTTACTTGACTGTATCAAAAAGCAAAATTTCTGAAAATATTTAATATGGGTTATTGCCCTTGTTCTTAAAAATAGGTTCAATATTGTTCAATCTTTAGCTTGAGAATAAAGCTCTTGCAGTATTTAATTTATTGATAGCTCTTGTCAACTGCCCAGATGACTTGATGTGTGTATTACGATTGACAACCGCTATTTTTCATTGACACATGTATGTCAATAGTATGTGGACATTGTTATACACGATTGGGCCTAACTTCATAATCAATCTTTGATAGTACTGTGAATATTTGGGCCTTGCCTTTTTCTCTTGAAAATTTCAACTTGAAACAAGCTAAGTGATTTGTGGCATAAAGGATAATGCCTCTAATAAATGGTACAATATTCATTTCTAAATTGTCTTTAAACTCATTCTATTATGCTCTAAATGGAAAATGAAGGACTGAAGGATAAATAAATTGAGTGAAAATGAATAAAGAAAATATTGATTTATATTTTCAGGTGCCAGGCTGGGCATACATTCTATGTGGTCTAGGATTGTTTATATATCAGTCATTAGATGCTATAGATGGTAAACAAGCTAGAAGAACAAAAACTAACTCACCACTGGGTGAATTGTTTGATCATGGCTGTGATTCAGTGTCCACTGGTATGTCAAACTTTCAACCCAAATCAGTTTGTAAATACAGTATATTTATTAGATGGGCCAATATCAACTATTTAATATGATCAAAATTTCCTACATTAAGACAGAAAATTTGCATCCATAGCATTATCTTGTCTGGTGCCAACCTAATTTTTATGCGCCCACATGAAATGGGGGACGTATATTGCTGTAACCCATCTCCGTTCGTCCATCCACAATTGTTCATAAACACTCTACAAGACACAATTCTTGACTGATTTTGACAAAACTTGCTATGAATGTTGGTAATCACCCAAGGATGAACCCTATTGAAAATCAGAACTATCAAAAAATATTTAGTATAAGTTATTGCCCTTGTTCTTGAAAACACGTTCAATTTTTAGCTCGTAAACACTCTAGAAGGCAGAATTCTTAATGTATTTTGATGAAACTTGGTATGGTTGTTTGTTATCACCCAAGGATAAAACCTATTAAAAATCAGAAAAACTGAAAAATATTTAGTATGAGTTATTGCCCTTTGTTTTTGAAAACCGTTCAATATTTAGCTCGTTATCACTGTAGAAGGGACAATTCTTGAGAAATTTTGACGAAACTTGGTGTGAGTGTTAGTAATCAGCCAAGGATGACCCCTATTGAAAATAAGAAGAATCTAAAAATATTAAGTATGAGTTATTGCCCTTGTTCTTGAAAACTCGTTCAATTCTTAGCTCGTAAAGACTCTAGATGGCACAATTCTTGACAGATTTTGATGAAACTTGGCGTGAGTGTTTGCTATCACCCAAGGATAAACCCTATTGAAAATCAGAAAATATTTAGTATGAGAGTGAACTCATACTCAGTATTATTGAGTATCGCCCTAAGGAGTTCAAAAGAAGTGTATTGAATATTTCATACTGGTGATTATTACTGTACTGCTAAATGTTTTTATTCAAAATCAAAGCTGCCAGTGGGCGTATATTGGTAAGCTATCTTATTAAATCTTGTTTAATAGCTACTTGTGTTTTGCTTATCTTGGTTTAATGAACTCTTGGTTGATCTGCTACAAAGACTATGTTTAATCAAGACTGGTGTAATGATATAACCTATATAATTTATAAATGTAAAACATATCTAAGCTCTCACATATTGATGTTTAATGATAAAATCTAAAAACTTGAGAAGACTTTTTCTGGAAACATTCAATTATTATGAAGGAGATACAGTTTTCTTGATATTTGTTTGTCCAGTTAAGATAAAATTTAGAAACCGGTTGTCTAGTTCTTTTTAACCTTTACAAAAATATAGATATTAATGTTCTCATATAATTATATATAATTTGTCTTTCAGTTTTTGTGTTGATGGGAACCTGCATTGCCTTAAAGTTAGGAAATCAACCTAATTGGATGATGTTCGAAATTGCTTCAGCTTCATTTCTATTTTATTGTGCACATTGGCAGACCTATGTTTCAGGAACTCTGAAATTTGGCAAGTAAGTATAGCAATGATAACAGTTTTGATGTAGTTGTGATGTACAATGATGACAATATATACAATCTGGTTAATCATAATACAAAGATCATTGTATATTGTCGTTGTCCTGTCCATTCACATTTCTTGTAGGTGTGTTATAGGCTACAGTTTATATCAGATCTTGATGAAACTTGGTATGCATGTATAAATTGATGAGATCTTGATCAAGTTCGAAATTGGTAATAATTGGATGACTGGTTTCAGAGTTATTGCCCTTGACTTAATAAAAACGTGTCAAATTTGGCTTGTTGGCACGATAGAGACTACAGTTTTTTCAAGCCCACATGAATATGGGCAGTTTTTATCTGATCTTGATGAAACTTGGTATGCACGTATATATATTGATGAGATCTCAGTCAAGTTCAAAATTGTTAATAATCGGATGAATGGTTTCGGAGTTATTACACTTGACTCTAGGCGAGATAGAGGCTACAGTTTTTATCTTATCTTCATGAAACTTGGTATGCATGTATGTATTGATGAGATCTTGGTCAAGTTCGAAATAAGTAATAATCGGATGATCGGTTTTAGAGTTATTGCCCTTGACTTAGTAAAAACGCCTTAAATTTGGCTTGCAGGCACAATAGAGACTACAGTTTTTATCTGATCTTGATGAAACTTCGTAAGCTTGTATATATTGATGAGATCTCAGTAAAGGTTGAAATTTCGTAATAATCAGATGAATGGTTTCGGAGTTATTGCCCTTGACTTAGTAAAAACTTGTCGAATGCAGGCACGATAGAGTCTACAGTTTTTATCCAATCTTGATGAAACTAGATGCATGTATATATTATTGAGATCTCGGTCAAGTTAGAAATTGGTAATAATTGGAGGAACCGTTTCAGTGTAATTGCCCTTGTGTGTACAGTGATGAGACAATGTTCATGTTTGAATTTGATGATAATTTTATGGACTGTTTCAGGTTTTTGCCTTGACTTATAGATGATAATTTGAAAATTCATTATTAAGACACTAAATATTTTCGTATCATTTCTTACTGCTGGTAGTGGGCGTATGTTACCTTGCCTGGCAAGCTTTCTTTGTATTTTACATAATGATAGTTTCTAGTTTTTTTACCTGCTGTATGTTGAAGTGGACAGTTTTGGTCATAGACACTATTTCCCTTTCACTTCTATGATATTACACATGTGAATTGCATACTACACTTCATAAGATGCTGACCTGGAAATAAATTACACTACCGTAGTTCACAGCCATTTTAAATCTCATCCTGGACTCAATAAGTCAAATTTTTTGAATGCTGATATAATATTTTAACCAAGGCTTTAAGACATGGCTTTAAATGTGATTTTAAAGCTTTGTTGAAATACAATAGCTTTATTTAGTCGAGTTCGTGATTCAAAGTGGCTGTGAACTACGTTTGTGTGTGTCATTTTCGTATGATTTGAATTGAACTCATTGACCAACAACTTCAGTAAATGATAATAATTTGCTGGTCATGCAAGTTGAAAATCTGTATTCAGCATCAGTAGCATTAGATATATTTATTGATAGTATTGAAAGTATTGAAAGTAACTCCTACTTAAAGTATGTATATCGTTTAGTGAAGAAATTATTATATAAGTTTAAAGTACAATATTTGATTTGAAATGATTATTTCAGAATTGATGTAACAGAAGGGCAAGTTGCAATAATTGGTTTATATTTTATAACTGGTATATTTGGTGAACATATTTGGGAGTTGCCAGTAAGTAATCTTTGCATCTTTGTCTAACATTAATTGATTTATTTTCTTTTTCCTATTGGATATTTTTTTAACAACAACTTGTGACTGTAATTCATCAAGGAATATTATCAGAGATTCAGATTAAGCACACACTGTCTTCACACAAGTTAGTATGCATCATGCAACTAATTTATCCCCTTTTATGTAAAAAAATGTTTGGTTGATTTAAAATGCATACATTTATTAATATAATAATGTTTAACTGAATTAAATCAGAATATTTTCAGTAACAACAAACAGAATAAAGATAAAACAAAACTCAGATGACTTCTACTTGCACATAGTTTGAAAAACACAGTTGATGTTTGATAGATCATGATAAAATGATGTATATTGCAGGTGCCGGTGTTCGGAAGTTTAAAGTTTATACCCATCTACATTAGTATAGGAGGAGCAATATTACAGCTTAATAACAATTTTTCAGTTATTTTAATGAAAGGTGGAATAGGCAGAAATGGTTCTACTGTGGCGGTAAGAATTAAAAAAAGGCTTAGTTTGAAATCATACCTGATATTTTATGAAAATGGCGGTCAAGACAATATGACATCCAGTTGCAAACTGAGTGACTTTGTCTGATCTCTGATAAGTTTTTTATATGCCCACACATAAGATGGCTATATATTGTAATCACAGTGTCGGTCCGTCCGTCGGTCGGTCCGTCCGTCCGTCGGTCCGTCCATTCACATTTGGTTCATGCTCACTCTACTGGCTACAATTCTTTACAGATTCTTTTGATTTTGATTTTGTGTGTCAATGTCATTATGAAGATGATCCCTATTGATTTTCGTGATGATCGGATAATTTTTCACCGAAATATCGCGTCTGACTTGATATTTCACTCTATCAGCTATATTGTGCAACTCGTGCTCACTCTACAGGCTACAATTCTTTATAGATTCTTTTGATTTTGATTTTGTGTGTCAATGTTATTATGAAGATGATCCCTAACGATTTTCATGATGATCGGATAATTTTTCACTGAAATATCGTGTCTGACCTTGACGTTTCACTCTATTAGCTATATTGTGCAACTCGTGTTCAATCATTTCTGACAGCTGCCAGTGGGCATATGTTACCTTGCCTGGCAAGCTATCTTTGATTTTGGTTTTTATACATCCACACATAAGATGGGCGTATATTGTAATCACCTTGTCGGTCCGTCGGTCTGTCCGTTCACATTTTCACTCTATTAGCTATATTTAGATAAACTGTTGTCCTTGACTGATAAAATATCTTAAAAGATTTAAGACATCAGAGCAGTGTAATTTGATAATTTAATTTGATGTATTTGGGGTTATTGTTACTGATTTTGAAAATGTGAAAAACTCAGCATAAATAACTGACAGTAAATATATATATATATGAAAACAATTCACACTAAAAATACATTATGAAGATCTTTGAAATGAGAAAATTCATATTTTGGTTACTTTTAAGACTCAATTATCATTTCTGACAGCTGCCAGTGGGCGTATGTTACCTTGCCTGGCAAGCTACCCATGGTTAGAGTAGGGTTAGATACAATAGACTCTTGTTTCTTGACTTTCGTTTGGGAGCTGCAGAGGCTGTGTGAATTACAGTGTTCAACCCCAGTAATCGACCAGCATAAATTGACCTTCAATTTTTCTACCCCGTCTCCCCATTTTGAAAGGATTAACATGGAAAATGTCATTTGGACAGGACAATGAATACCAGTCAATTCCTCGACATGTCAACTTGTTGACAAAATTTTATCGGAGAACTCGGCAGAGGTCAACACAAAATTTATCATGGATGACTTGATCTGATTATCCACCTGAATTGTTTTTATACGTCCACATGGTAATGTGGCCATATATTGCCGTTGCCGGTGTCCGTCAGTCTGTACACATTTCTACAGTTTTTATCTGATCTTGATGAAACTTGGTATGCATGTATATATTGATGCGATTTCGGTCATGAAATTTGGTAATAATCAGATGAACGGATTTAGAGTTATTGCCCTTGACTTAGTAAAAACACGTCAAATTTGTCTTGTTGTCTTGAAGCAACTGTTTTAATCTGATCTTGATGAAACTTGGTATGCATATATGTATTGATGGGATCTCGGTCAAGTTTGAAATTAGTAATAATCAGATGAACGGTTTTAGAGTTATTGCCCTTAGTAAAAACGCGTCAAATTTGTCTTGTAGGCTCGATAGAAGCAACAGTTTTGATCTGATCTTGATGAAACTTTGTATGCATATATGTATTGATGGGATCTCGGTCAAGTTTGAAATTGGTAATGATCAGATGAACGGTTTCAGAGTTATTGCCCTTTGGCTTGTAGGCATGATAGAGACTACAGTTTTATCCCATCTTCATGAAATTTAGTATGCATGTATATATATTTCGAATTTGGTAATGATTGAATGATCGGTTTTAGGGTTATTGCCCTTGACTTATTGAAACCCTTCAAATTTGGCTTTTAGACAATTCATTATTAAGTATATTTTCAAGGTTGCACGGGTATGATTTCTGATTTTTACCAACAGTTTGTGGGGAACTGGTTAAAACTAGGTCAAATCTTCTTCGGTACGGTACTTCATGTTTAATTTATGGCGTTGCTTGACTTCATTAGTCTAGTAGATGCAGAAAAGAAGTCCCATTCGTTTCATTTCTCGACTTGGATTCCTCCATGTTGGGATTGTAGATTTTATTTGTTTTCCCTATTTCCAATCAAAGTACATATTTGGCAAGAATATGCATTTCAAACTTTCTTTTTTCATAACCAATCACCACATGTCTTAAAAAAGGACAATTTTAGTTACAAGTTTTCAATCCTTTCTTTCAGGGCACTAGTACAATATTTCCAGTTTTTCCAATATCTCTAGTCCTTATATTAGAAATAATCATACAGAATAAATCCCCAACTTTTATTTATCATCAATACCCAGCTTTATATTTACTCAGTTTTGGTCTGCTGGCAGCTAAAGTTACCAATAAGCTTGTTGTGAGTAATCAAAGAATTTGTATTTTTATACACCCACAAGTTTGGGAATATTTTCGCCACACTAACCATCAGTCAGTCCATTCACATTCATCTAGTGCTGAACAGTTAATACTTTTGAACAGATGCCTTTCACTTTGGAGTAGTTGGTTTGTACCAATTCAAAGATGATGTCTATCAAGTTATTAATTGTAATAATACTCATAACAGTTAAATAGTAGCGATTTTTCAATAGACTTGACTTATTCATTCATCTCAATTCAATATAGTTAGTGTCAAAGTCAGCATTATTAGAAATACATAAAGCTGAATTGTGAAAGTGAAACATCACATTTCTATGAAAATAGTGTAGTAAGGTCTCAAAGTTATTGCCCTTGACAAATTTGGCTTGTATGCACAATAAAAGCTACATTTTTTATCTGATCTTGATGAAACCTGGTATGCATGTATATACTGATGAGATCTCAGTCAAGTTTGAAATTGGTAATAATCGGATGAGACATTGTTCATGTTTTAATTAGATGATAATTTGATGAACTGTTTTTGAGATTTTGCCTTGACTTATAAATATTTTTAAGATTATTTGAAGATTCATTAATTAGCCACTTTATAAAGACTTTATGTGAACAAAAATCAGTTTTGGCATTTGATTTTAGCATATGTATAATTAGTAACTGTGGCTCAACATGTAAATGAAAAAGAAAAAGATGGTAATTAGATTGATACTATGTGTGCTATAGGCTATTCACGATAAGCCATAGAAGCAAAAGCAAAAAAAAACTAGAGCCACACGTGGCACAGAGTGGGACTTTGCAAATGTAGCAATTAGCTAAAGACCCTGGAACAATCAACCTTCGACGTTAATTAGGTCAAGTTGAGAAATTATCATCATTTAGAAGATTCCAATATCGAAAGTAGAAGCCAGGCCTCACAAATGAATGTATCAGCAGATAGCCAAGATCAGTGACCTTTGATCCTGTAAAGGAGAAGGTCTAAAATGGTCAAGATCAAGAGATATCAGTCATCAAAATTTCAAATTGCACACGGCTATAAAACCGGAAGTTGACATAGGACAGCAAATATAAAAGTATATATAGATAGCCAATGCCAATGACATTTAATCCTACAAAGGCCAAGGTCAACAAAGGTCAAGGTCAAAAATTGAAAATTTGAATTTCCAAAACCTGTTCCTTTTTTAGAACTATGAAGCTGAAACAACTGACCTTCTAAGACAAAGTGGCTCAAAACATGAAGTAATTATTTTCAAACTTCCATTTTTAAGAAATATATACTTTGCGAGTTATGCCTCTGGCCAAAAATGTCAATAATGAGTAATTTAACACGCCTACCTCAATTTTTTTTGCATAGGTTAATTGATATTCAAAATGTTATGTTGTGTTCCAAATTTCAAGCTTTTACATCATACAGGTCAAAAGATATAGTTCAACAAAAGTCAAAAAAGGTCAAAATCAAAATGAAAATATGAAAATATCCAAATTTTAAAACCTGTTTCTTTTGTGGAACTATAAAGCTGAAACAACTGAGCTGTTAACACAAACTGGCCAAAAGGATGAGGTGATTGTGTGCAAAGTTCCTTTTTGAAGCGATTTATGCCCCTGTCCCTAAATGTAAACAATTAGTAATTCAACCTGGATGTGCCACGCCCACATTAATTTTTTTGTCATAGGTGAATTCATATTTAAAGTGTCTAGTTGTATTCTAAATTTAAAGGTTCTACATCTAATAGGTCATAAGATATACACACACCAAGCTCAAAGAGACACAAATATTGTAAAAAAAAAACTTTCAAATTTGAAAAAATCACGAATTTCATTTTTCGATTGTTATATATCAATGTAAAGTGCATGAGAAGCACATTAGGAAACCGAAAAAATTAACCCTCTAAGTAAATTAGGTCACGTGCTAGAGCAGTCCAAAGTTGCTAAAAAATCGGAAGTACATGTCGGAGGTAAAAGGTCAAGGTCATCAAAGGTCAAGGTCACTTGGTATGAGCGTTTAAAGTTGCAAAAGTTGCAAAAAAGCAAAAGCGAAATTCAAAATTCGGCTCGCTACGTTTTTTGCACAATCGATTGTATAATACATACACATCACATTTGAGCATATCAACATTTACCCTGAGGCCCCATTTTGAGTTTTACAAAAATGTGTTTTATCAATAATGCGGCTGAAGTATCACTTCCGGTCTGGATTTTTTTTCCTTCGTTTTTTTTGTAATACATTTACTTACGATCAGCATAAATTTTGTTGATCTATTTAAATTACACTGGAAGTTATAGGACCGGAAGTGGATTGTACTTTCAATTGATTCCCCGTTTAAAATAGGAAGTAAATTTAAATATTTGACAGTTACATGTTATTTACTTTAGTGATGTCTCTTTGCATTTTAAATTTCAGATCAATCGATGCAAAAACAAAAAAGTTGCAAAAAAAGTGCAAAATTTGATCGAAAAAAGTGAGCGACAAATTTTCGAATTTCGTAATTCTGCAACTGCTACCATATCAGAAATTACAGACACTTTCTAAAAATGAAAGTCTGCAGAAAATCGACGCAAAAATGCGCCTTTTAGAGCCTAGGGAATTGTAAAGGTTGCTGCAACTACTGCAGTCTAGGCTCAGGAAGGTGTGTAAAATTCGAAAAAAAAGGGACATTACGATAACAAACTCCAAAGTCCCACAAAAAGGCTAGTGATTCTGTCTGTAGCCTATTTAACTTGTTGTCACAAAATATTGAATAATTTCTTGCCTGTATTGCATTTCCTTTTCTTTTCTACTATGCATCTAGAACTTTTTATTGTCTTATTATTTTACAGTATTCAAAGTCATTCACATATTTATATTTTTAGGTTGCCCACATGACAAAAAGTGAAATGGAATTGTTTGATTTAGGGTTAATAGGCCCTGGAATGTTATTTTTAAATCAATATTTTAATTGTATCATAAATGAATATATAGTTTTATGGCTGTGTTTTGTAAGTATACATTTCAAACTATTGACAACATTTAGTGTCCTAAGACATCCAGAGGCTTCAAGAATTATTTCAGTTTCATAAACCCTTTAGACAGCACACTAATTCCTCAATTACAATGTCATTACACACTTTAACCAAACACAGCATGCGTTATGTAATGGTGTGGTGTAGGTTAGATTACAATATTTGATCCATACATAATTGATATCACACAATATTTTGGATCTTTCACCAATCAAATTAAGTGATAGGTATATCAGTTGCGTTAGATGTTGAAATTGACTAGGTACATTATGCTGTGGGTACACGAATGGTGTGGGACGACAATCTTTATTTCAGACTAGATTGTCAAGAGAAAATCGTCAGTCTGTTGTATTCTCTATAATCATGACATGATCATGCAATTAAAGTGAAAATCAGTCTGATTGGATGATGATGATGCTCTGTTGGAGTTTTGTCTTGTCTAAGTGCAGTCACACCAAGAAAATAATAGATGAGAAAAAAATTGGCGACTAATATCAAACTTGTTTGATGTTCAAAATCCTGTCAGAAACGTGATAATCTTGTCACAGGAGCACCGGTATACGAGAAATTTGACAAAAAGTGTTGACCTAAAAAGTTTGTGTACTTGCAGCTAAAGCCTTGTGCTTGTTATTTTGGCAGAGAAAGTTGCTTGAAATCTCCAAAGTTCCATTTCTGGCATGAATTCAAATAGCAGACCATTTTATTGTCTTTATATATTAATTTGTTTTCTTGTATTGTTTCAGATATGGTGTTTGTTTGATCTAATAAAGTATTCCACTCATGTTTGTATTGAAATATGTGACTATTTGAATATCTATTGTTTTACTATTACCAGTACACCAAAACAACAACAGAAAGGAGGTCAGAATGGAAAAAATAAATCTTTTTAAAAAAGAAATGGCGCTTTACAATTTCTTTTAGCATGTTACATTTCTTTTATGTCAGTTTATTATCTATATGATGTTAAAATATAACTGTACATATACTGTACAAATCTCGTGCATTATTGAATTAGTAACTTCTGTGGTCATGCGCTGATCTCTTTATGAAAGTAAAGTAGATAGATTAGAAAATTCTTGCAACAGTTTGATAGTAGGCCCACAGTTTTAAAAATATAAAGTAAAATGAAATAATAAAAGATTGGCAAACAATATTCTTTCAGGAGTGAAACATATATATACATTTATACAAAGATAATAGTAATAAAACAAACAATAGAATTATATGGAATACTTAAATAGAGTAAAATGAACTCTACATTAATTCAGTCTTTAGTCTATTTTTAAACATATTGTTCTATTGTAAACTTGCTGTGTACTTAAAAGTCTTTGTCATAGCACGAAGGTTAGATTAAGGCAAATACAATTTTTGATTCGATTCAGAGCGAAGACAGAGATTTGTGATGAGATATTAGATTTTAGAATAAAATAATTTTAAAAATAATCTGGACAATGTCTTTCATAATGTTGTATGTCAGTATCCCAGGGTTGATAGATTGAGAGCCAATTGGATTTAGAAAGCAAGCCTGTTGATCTTGCATTATTGTTTGTGTCTAGGATACATCTTGCTTGTACCATTGAATGCACAAGTCTAAATCAAATGCATGAAAAAAATAACTTTGTCTAACACTGTGACTGAATTGGCCACCTTTCTTGTATCATGGAAGTTTATAAATGCAGCATTATGATTTCATTGGATTAGATCTTAAACCATTATGAGACCACCTCCTTGAATGATATATAAAATAAGTTTTTCTAAAAATGTTTATATTATGAAAAATTCAACAATTCCTTTGTGCATTGTTATGTACAGATACTATTTGTAATGTAAGAGAGGTTTTAGTTAAGGAAAGCATGCATTTACACTGCATTAATATTATCAATCTGAAACTCTAAAACCTAATTTTTCCACCGGGTTTACTTTCAGTTAAAAACTCTAGCAACACAATAAAGCAAGCAAAGATATTTGTGCATATCCAGGTCGAACTCAAAACGTAAACCCTAGAAATCTACTTTAGTTTTACGTTGTACTGTAGTACTGAAGTCAGTATAAGTCTGACTGATATAGTTCATTTACTAATAATTCAACCCAAAGTGAAGTAGACCCGTGTTTTTGTTTTGATCTAGATCCAAATATACACAAATATCTTTTTGCTGGACTTATTCTCTTATAGTGATAGCTGGAATAAATGTATTTCTACTATATTATCAAGACAAAACTATGAACTGAATGCACATTTGCTAAATGTATTAGAATTTTCTAGAATGTAAGTTTAGAACAAGAAGGAATGCAAAGCAGAAATAGAAATTGTATTTTGTATTTTGTAGATGCTGGTATTTTGGATATATAAGACTGTAAGTGAAAATTATGGAAATATTTAAGCATGAATGATTTTAAAATTCAGTTCCTATTTTTTTGCTTTGCAATTATTTCTTGTGACTAAATAACATTAAAGTGATATACAGTAGTTGGAAATATTAAAAAGATTGTAAAGATGTTTCTAAATTTTATGTGTATTTGTAACACTGATACAGATGTAGTGTTTCCTGCAATTCCGCAATAATAAGTGTTTGATGACGTCACAAATTGCTAAATATGCTTTATCTTTGCACTTAGTGACGTCATTAAACACCTAGATTTTTTGTACAATCCCTTAAAGTTACTTTTTTTGGCTTCATCTGTTAATCTTTCTAATGACTAACAAAGCAATTCTATGTACCTAGAATTACCCTGTGAATAATAATGGCTTTATATGTCTTGCCGGTGCTTACATATTTGTATTTATCAGTGTGCATGTAACCTTCTTTTAACTAATAACTTTTATCAGAACTAACAGGATTATCTGCATGGTATTTCTCTGATAGCTCAAATAGGAAACTTTGTTTCTAATCAAATTCTACTCTGACATTTTTTTTAGCTTGAAACACTTAAAAGGGCATATTATTTTCATTATCAAAAATAACTCCAGAAATTGGGCTGGACATTTTGTCTAGAACAATTCAATTTGAGTCGGACATTTAAAATTTTGTACCATATTTTAAATTGAAAAATTGCATTTAAAACCCATCAATTTAGGACTGAAATTTGCTGTTTTCTCACCTGCAAGTGCAATACAAGTTAACAACTAGCTAAGAATAGTTTATGTCATTCAAATAGGCCATAGGGATTATTTATATACTTTTATTATTTTTCTACTTTCGGTTTTAAGAATCCTCATGCTAATCAACACATCTGGTGTTTATTTAACATGGTGCTTGACAATTTCCTCTGGCTCAGTGTATCTTTGTATCAAATTCTTATGTATTATTTGAAATAAAAGTGTGATTAGACTTCATGATTGTAATATATAGTACCATATGAAAGATCATCTCATGTTTATATAAACTATAAAGTAATTATAGAATTAAATTTACTAAAAGATGCGGACAAAAATATCCGGCCCCACCGAGATTGTATTGGACATTTGTCAAAATTGTACCGGACAATGTCTGTGTCCGGAGGCATATTTTAAACCTTGCTAGTTTTAGAGTTTGGGCTCATTTAGACTCAATATTTTTATTTGAAACCTTTAGAATAACTAGGAGACATATTCCCCTACAATAAGGTGCTTATTTTGCTTAAATCCACACATTAGTTTTCTAACAGCTTCCAAAGATCAGAATGAACTGGAACTGTTTACTTAAACCATTTCAATATTTTTGGCGTTTAAAAATTAACCGCAGGAAAAGGGACACATTGCTTTAGATTTTCGTTTTCATGAATTTGAGAAAAAAAAATTTCGACCTTTGAAAAAAAACAGAATTCCCCTTTAACTTGTCTTAAATCAAAGTCATGAGCTAAGCAAATATCAGATTGGGTCAGAATTCAATGCTATTAAAAACAAAAACAAAAAAAATTATTTTTTGGTCTTTTTGGAAGTCTATCACACAAATTTTCAAAAATTCCAACTAAATTTGATATAAATTGTTGTTGATAATTAAATATTGAAAAGAATGACAAAGCCAAGAGTTGGAAAAAGTGTTAACTGAAAAGACGACAATTGACCTTTTAGAGCCAAGCCTTCCTGCCTATTATTCTATTGGTATAACAAACTTACTAACCTATTAGTCAGTGAAGCATTTAAATTTGTATATATATTTGTCATACTCAGGTTATTTGTTGATTAAATACATTTTTTTTGTATGAGATAAACTACCAGAGATGAAGGCACCCTAGTCTGTAGTAATACTTAAATCTTTTCACTAGATGGTCTTCAACTTGCTGACCCTTACCTAGCTCTTAGCTATTTATAGCTGTTGTACTACCCTCTTAAATTTGAGTTTTCTAGACGAAATATTGGAGTGAAATAGGAATTGAAATATTGAGTCCCACTTTGATCATGTGTTATTTATTTGAATAAATCAGATTAACTTACTAAACTGTTTCTTGTAAATCATTGACCTAATGAATGATGTATCAAGTGTCAAACATTATGAGGCATTATAGAGCAAATGAAAGGACATTTATGGAATTTTTCCAATTTCATTGTACTTTTTTGGTTAAGGTATATGACTCATAAATTCTATTCTTTCTGTAGCTTTAAATTTTATTAACTTGTGTTATTTTTTTTATTTGTTAGAAAGTGCCTTTGTTTGATCAACTTATTTATTTTTAGTTCATTAGCTAGCATAATTTATATTATTCTTGTTATGTTATATTTCTTCAATCTACATCTATATATACATGTACCTTATTGTAAGATGTAAATGATTTATTTTTTGAAAATATAAACTTAAGATGGACAGAATTGATAGAAATAATGAAATAAGCTTAATAATGTTATTTATAAGAAATTCCACCGTTTTCATCATATCATATGTATTGTTCAATGACGGAAGCTTTTCTGTAAAAAAAAAAGTAAACTAATCATTATCCTGTTTTATTTCATGTGTTGTAATGACAAAGTGCTGGCACGAAAAATAAATATTGACACCTGGCTTCATCTGGATCAGAAAAAAAATATAGCTTCTAATGTGTAAAAATGTTTTTACATGGGCATATATAAATGAGATCAGTATCATGTTCTGATGTTTGCAATGTCATTTGCTTCAAATTAACATTAAAAACTCATGTCCATAAATTTATCAATTTCTGTTAACATTGTTTTCACATTGATATCAATAGAAGGAATAATCATTGTCTAAAAACTTCATATGCTCAGTGGTCAGACTTGGCAAGGTAACCTATTTAGACACTGAGCCCAATAAACTATTTAATCCTCAAGCTCAAATGTTGAGTTTTCTGTGTTAAAATTTTAATGGTAAAAATTTATTATGATCATGTATTGTTTGGAATTGTTTTTCTTCTTATATGATTATGGTAATATTGAAGTAATACATTGTGGAAAATAAAACTTTTTTTTTTTTATATACTGGTACTATGTAAAATTTAATCATATGGAAATAAAACTATGAAATTGAAACAGAATTTTCTTATTTGAAAAGACAACATCACAGGTGTGAGGTTTTGATAGCAAAAACCCTTTTTATACGCCCAATTTTGACTTATATTGCTGTCGCCCCTGTCCGTCTGTCAACATTTCATGTATGCATGATAGAGGCTGCAGTTTTTATTTGATCTTGATGAAACTTGGTATGTAAGTATATATTGATGAGATCTCAATCAAGTTCTAAATTGGTAATAATCGGATGAACGGTGTCTGAATTATTGCCCTAAAAAAAACAGAGACTTCAGTTTTTATTCGATCTTGATGAAACTTGGTATGCTTGTATATATGGATGAAATCTCGATCAAGATTGAAAATGGTAATAATCAGTTGAACAGTTTCAGAGTTATTGCCCTTGACTTAGTAAAACCCTTCAAATTTGGCTCGTAGGCATGATAGAGACTACAGTTTTTATTTGATCTTGATGAAATTTGATGTGCACGTATATATTGATGGGATCCTGGTTAAGATCGAAATCGAGATCTGTTTCAGAGTTATTGCCCTTGACTTTGTAAAAGTGCGTCAATTTGGCTTGTAGGCACGATAAAGGCTACAGTTTATAACCGATCATAATGAAACTTGGTATGTTCGAAATTGGTATTAATCTGATGAATAGTTTCAGAGTAATTGCCCTTGTGTGTATGTTGATGAGACCTTGTTTGTTTTGATATGATATGATAATAATTTGATGAACTGTTTCAGGTTATTGCCTTGACTTATAGATGACTTTAAGATTATTTGAAAATTCATTATAAACTACTAAAGATTTTGTTATCATTTCTGACAGCTGGTAGTGGGCGTATGTTACCTTGCCTGGCAAGCTTTCTTGATAATTTTACAGGAATATGGTTATCCAAATATTGACCCAGCTGATAGTATTTAGTTAAGTCAGTGAGAAAATTTGTGATTCCATTCATCGACTTTTAAAAATCCCTTCTTTTTATGGAATGACAGGTACATTGCAATAGCACTAGTAAATAATTTACAACATTATTCATTTAGAGTTTTTATTTACATTTTTTTTTATAGAAGAAAGCAATCTATAAAACAATATGTAGTGCTTTCTATCTAAAAGCTGACTTGGAAAAAATGATTATATAAAGCTTTTTAGCACTGAGGTGCTGTCTTTCAAGCTCCATTTTTTAAAGGAGTAAATTTGATATTTTCATTTGCAAAACACTACAATAACAGTTCCAGATTCTTAGCAGGTAGTATCATAATAATAATAATCATAATCATAGTTGGTTTAATGTAATCTATATAATTCCTGTTCATGGTCATTTGATGACAAAATAAATATCTATTATATAAAAATATTCAGAATATGTAGAAATCTTTTGGACATGATTTGACATAAATGATTATTGAAACCAAATCTTTCTGCAGTATTGCAACTTCCTTATCTAATACAATCATTCTGAATATGAATCATTGGATTGTATTGGAGCAATCTTGATATTCCTGGTTACTATATGATCTGAAAAGGGTCTTCTTCAAATCTTGTGCTGTGGAATTTTTTACCAACTAGCATGAAACATAATTTAAGTTAACCAATCAAAATTACTGTTAACATTGGTTAGATACTTATAGTCAATGTTTAAAAGTACATACATGTATTGAACAGAGATGAATAACAATTTCTTCCAATAATGGATGGCAAGTGAAGTCAACTGCAGAAAAAACATGAAACGACAAATCTGTATTTGCATTTGTAATCAGAATCGCTTTGGAGTTTTGTTTTAGGACCAGCCTTGGTGTTAAAATGTGTTACACATAAATAATAAACATTTGACAGAAAATTGTAAAATCGATAAAATATTCACAAGAGCATTAATTTTTGTTGATTTTTTGGTATGTAAAATCCACAAATTCATTTCATCATAATATTCGAAATAAACTAAGTACTCTAATTGTCTTAAATGGAATGACTTAGTGGGGATTCACTATTTATGGTTTTCATAATAATTCAACAGTTCATATTAATTCAGAAAATTAGTAAGCAATAAAATTACAGTTATTGGTAAATTAAAACAAAACTATAACAAATATATAATTCATGTTCCTTCAAACTTGAAATAGACTTAAAATCTCAAGAATTTGGTGCTCATGTACTAATTAACATTATTTTGAAAAGAATTGGTAATCTGAGATCAATTATGGTTAAAAAAAAAGCAAGCGTTCTTTTTGTTTTTAGGGTATATTGTCTTTAATTTTCCCTAAAATAAAAAGCATAAATGTAAAGCACCTTTGAATGCTCATGTTAAAGCAAAAATGAGCACTATACTAAGTTTAATGATCCTAAACTTAATATACAATATTAACTTATGTAACATTAATGGATGGAAGTCTAAATTTTTATTCATGTCCTGTTGTGTAATTCAATGATGACCTTAGAGAGTGAAGATGCACCAAAATGAGAAAAAACAATCAATGATCTGACATCCTTCATATTTACTTCCTTAAAGGGGTATTCCGCTCTTTTGTAAAAAAATTCCATCAACAAAAACATAAATTATAACAGAAAATATTTCTAAAGTATGCTACATCTATATATGTATCTTTTTTGTATTAAAAGGGTTAATTTAAAACGAAGAGTAATAATTGTTAATTAAGCAGTTTGATCTAGTTTTGGTGTTTGGCTTTATAATGGCTTGATATTATTAGTTGAAACCGTTATAATATATAGGAGACATATTTCTCTACTATTAGGCGTTTATTTTACATAAATCCGTACAGTAGCTTTGAGCAAAAAAAATTTAAACCTACAAAAAAGCGAAATGTCCCTTTAATAATCATATACCCAGATAAACATCACTGATCTTTACATCAATGTCACTCATTTACAACAGAAAGTTGTCTTGAGAAATACAGAGACGTTAACATGGAAAAAGCGTCTTATTTTGCATAATTTCCTTTACTACACACTGCATCTTCATTAGCCCAAAAAATGCAGAAAATGTCATGTCAAAATGGAGCCCATCAAGACTAAGCCATTTCGACCAAAAAATGATGTGGAAAGTTATTTTGACGATTCTGTGATTTTTTTTTATAAAAGGATTTCTACAAGGCTTGCTATTCCTGTATGTATTGTGTAAACAAATTCATAACTCATTTTTATTTGAGACCAGAGTATCTAGATTGATAAAAGAAAATAAACTTTTAATGATATTGCACACACAGGGGAAAAGCAAATGAATTCAAAAAGCAGAGAACTAAAACTATTCGAAATGAAATCTAGCTATTTCAAATTCTTAAGTCCTAACAATCGCGAGTTAGCTGTAACTGAACTTTTAGATGTGATATATCTTAGGGTAAAATATCTTAAGGTAATCTTGAGAAATGTGACCTTGATATATACTTAATGAAACAGAAAGGATTCTTTTAAAATAAAAAGTTGTACTTTCATGTCAATTTTATGAAAAGAACATTTTTGACAAAGATATACGACAAGCAGTCAACAAATAGCACAAACTACTACTGGTACTTATTTTAAATCAAAATAATCTTCAGGAGTTAAGCATTCCTGTCAGAGTCTTGTGTATAGATCATAGGTTTACCAAATATTTACTTCCAATAACAAATTCTGTTCTAATGTAACTAGACTAACAAACCATTAGACATTCTACATGTATCTAACAAAATCCATTTACAGTAGATCCATGTTACATGATGCTTGTAAATATAACCTGATCAATTTTACACATAGTCCATGAAACATGCATTCCATGCAATGACATCCATTGTTTAATCTCACATACAATAACCAGTGTGGCATGAAATAGTTTCTCCAAGTTAAGTAAGATACATCATCTACCTGTTTATTTAGTCACTTTATACAATTTTTCACAATTTCAAATCATCCTTCACTTTTATAATTTAAGATGTTTTGAACAATTTAGTCTGTTAACATAAATATATTTGCATGATCACTTATGAAATAAATACACATATGGATGCTCAATATCAATTCATAATTTCAGTTCGTTTAACACCATTGACTGTAGGTATTAAAATATTAGGTAAAACAATAAATTCAAGCAGTAGATTTTCATCATGAAGCACTAAATTTATTAATTGATTTTAACCATCTGAAAAATATAATTACAAATACAGTTAAAAGGAATAAGTCAGTTTTGAAATAAGTGATCAACTGATAATAAACGCATCAGTAGTGCATTGAAGCTGAAACTCAGGATGTCCTTGCATGTTGTAAGGATTTACTGTACATAGGATGCCCATGAGAACACAGAAGAAAAAAGCACATTATTTACAATGATAATAGCAGAAAAGGATATCAGGCATATCGTTGTGTGTAAAGGTCATGATTCACCAATTTTTTTAGGTTGTGTGATATAAATTTAGTTACCTAGCAGTTACAGCTGTTTTATTTCCAGGCTCCTCTACAACTCCAGATGTAACAGTTGTACTAATATCACTTGATTTCTTTTTATTCTTCTTTTGAAACTTGGCAACATATGCCTCTACCAAAAGTTTAATTTTCATTGGGTTAACATCTTTGGCTTTACTGTGACATACCTGTAAAAACGTTAATAATTCATTTTCAAATCTTATATAATCATAGCTACAGAATTTTTCTGCCCGACACAATGTAATCTACTGATCTAATGAATATGTTAAAATCCTCACCTGTGAGCCTCTAGCAGCTCACTTACCATACTAGTATCTTTTCAGTGTTATTTACAAACAAGATTTAAAGCTCTGGTGAGTAAATTAGACAAGGATAAAAAAAAAACTGCTTAAGCCATTTTGACTTGTTTGGTGAAGTCAAGGACAATGACTCCAAAAAATGTTCATTGAAGATATTGGCATTGGAAAAAAAGGTTTCAACATAAATCTGCTTCAGTTTGGCTAAAGGTGGCTATTTCTGTTAATTCAAGTTTGTAATAGTTTGACATTGTGCATTACAAGTCTACATATATGCAATCACATTTTCAACAAAAATTTGAGCATTGCATATAATGGTGATTATTCAACACCAACATCTTTAAGAGTTATTTCATACAGTAGATAGACTCAGCTAGACATTCAACTCAAAAGGATTTACCTTTGGCACAGCTCTTCTTAGAATTTCTTTATATTGGTCTTTTGTAATTTTTTTCCCGCTGTAGAAAGGTTTGATAGCCAGTTTGACTTCCTCAATAACCCTTTCTTGTAAATGTAATTTCTTCACATACTGTAATGAATTAGTTTTTCGGGGGTCAAGATTTTGTTTAGATTTCTGAAAGAAAGTGGAGGAAAAAGAGCCCAATAAATATAAAATAAAGCACTAACTCTAATAACATGCAATTAAGTAATAGAAATGATATTAATCAAAGTGAAAAGATTAGCCAGGCCATGTCCAGTATATTTAAATCATTATGTAGAATTTTGCTTCTTGTCACTTTGTTTTCTATTAGTGGGTTAGTTTGGATAAATAGATATTGTAAAAGGTTTGATTAAAGCTCAATTTCAGCTACCTGTGTCACTTAAATAAAATAAATAATTCAAGTTTGATTTCCAAATTTCTTCTACTTATTATCATGCTGTGAACGTTTAAACAATCACAATCTATGAAGATATATTATGCAATCAATAAATATATCTGTATGGGAGAATACACATGATGAAAGTATTAACCAATTTCTACAGTGTGGTTACAGATAGTTGAAACTGAGCTCAGTTAACTGGTATAGAAGATTTTAAGATCACTTAGATAAGCTTTAGAGAAGGTTAACTGGATAAGTATATACAAGTCTCAATTATATTTCATCAATAACCAGAAAAATTAACTTGAAAAACTTTCCTGTCCCCAAAATATCTGAATGATATGGTGTTAAAACTTTTACCAGAAATGATATTGAGATTTTTGAATAGATATATGTTATGTATAATCTGGTAAACATTTTTTATCAACTGAGGGTTATTTCAAATAAAATAAAGTACTTAATATTGAGCTATTGCAGTAAATATGAAGCAGATCATTTAAAGGTCATCTTAAAAACCTGTGGCCATTCTTCAAAATATGTAAACTTACAATTAGAAGTGCCTCAGCCATTAGTAAGATGCAATTTATATAGAAAGCTTTGATTAAGAGAATGAATGTTCTAAGCTAAGTCTAATTAAAAGGAATTCAGAATCTCTATTTTAACAAATTTCTAACTAACGTAACAAAAAGCAAGTAAAATAGAACAAGAAAAATTTAACTTTTTAGACAAAATTCTAATTAAAAAAAAGATAAGATTGAAATTCTTAAAGTAAAAATTTCTAGCAGTAAAAGATAAAGAACTTTAAAGTCTAAACTATACTGGGCTTTCCTCCATTTAAGATGTGAATACTATATACATTATTTGTTCTTTCTACATGAAATCATAATAAAAATATGCATTTACATTAATTAATATGTAATATTACGAATTCAATAATGCTAATGCATTCACAAGCACATAGAAGTCTCAAATCAGCACCAAGTTTAACCTACAGATGTTAGATATAAACATAAACACTCAATCAAGATACAGCTTCAGTGCATAAACTATCAAATTTAATTGAAATTCATCCCAGCTCCGGACTAACACATAACCATCAGTTACTGAACTTCATGCAAAATATGCTCACCATTTACTTCCTTATATCAGGTAGCTATTCTGAATGATTTTAATAATCAGAGTTTAGATTTCAATATTACATACATAACACAAATCTCACCTTTTGTTTCTTGCCTAAGTCAGCAGCTGATGATGGCATTTCATCCTTTCCAATATCACGTCGTTTCTTACGACTTTTTCTTTTGGGCATAGGGGATTGTGGTAACCTCAACTCACATTCATCATCAGATGGAGATGACACATCATCATTACTGTCTTTATCAATATCCATATCAACTACCTCCAGTGTTTCAGAATGGTCAACTGGTGGTGCTGGTATCTTAAACACTCCTCCAGTCTTTGGATCAGGCCTAATTCCTGCTAGTCTTGCTTGGGTATTTAGAAGTCTGTTTATTTCAGTCAGTTGGTTGAAGCCTGGTCTAGTCTGATTAGATGTAAGTGGAGGGAAAGGCAATGAAAGCAAACTTCTTGGTCGAGGTGCAGGTTCAACATGCATCTTTGAACCATTCATTATTGAAGTTAAGGTTGAAGACATAGGAATGGGGCGTGGCTGAGCGAAAGGAGAATCATTTGATTGAAGTGTAGGGAATACCTGACCTATTGGGGGATTTGCTGTAGATGTTGGAGTAGGTAAGAGACCAACAGATTGGTGAGAGGATGGCGGCAAGACAGATGTGATGATAGGTTCATTTGGCTTAACAATGGCTATAGGTGATTTGTTTGGTGGTGCAGATAAGATACGATCCTCCTGTGATTTAGGCGATGGGAAAATTGGAGAAATAGAAGATTTTGTTGTTGTAACTGTGGGTGTAGATGAAAAAATAGGAGATACTGAAGGTTTGGATAAAGGAACTGAAACCGGAGTGACTGTAGACTTTGATGGAGCTTCTGTAGCTGGTGTGGCTGTGAGTGTTGATGGGAAAATAGGAGATATGGTACGTTTTGCTGGTTTGACTGTTGCTAGAGATGGGATGATGGGAGAGGCTGTTGGTTTGGTTGGGGTAATAACAGGAATTGACTTAGGTTCACAGTCCTCAGATGACACTGCAGGAGATATTGGTAATATTTCTTGTTCTGGTTCATCTATCGTCAATGGCTCTGGGGAAGCCTCTGGTGATATTGTTTCAGAAAATTTTGCTTTGTCATTTGGAATTTCTATTAGCAGGGCTTCAGTATTTTGACTAGTAGATGGGTCAGCAGAATGAGGTTGAACTGTATCATCTTTCTGACAAGACATTATCACCACACGAGCAGGTGAAGATGGTTTTGAAGAATCTAAAAGTGGTGATTTGACCAACTTAAAATCATCATCTGTTGGATGAGCTGGATCATAATCAGAGGGATCATCTGATATATTTCCATGGTTTTCTTTCTCTTGGGATTTCGACCGTACTGATGTTGGAGATTTAGGAGAAAGATGTCGAGAAGATGACTGTGATCTAGGTGATGCCATTTCAAGAGGGTCATATAAATCATTACCATTTGTAGTATTTGTGACACTAGGATTGGGAACTTTAGATACAGTAACAGTTTCTTCTTCACTTTCATCTGAAGGTATTTCAATTTCTACATGTTCTATTTCTCCCACTAATATTGCATCATCTTCTAATTCTTTAAAAAACATGCCTGGAGGTGCTGGAGGGCCCTTCTTTCTTTTACCTTTCCTCTTCTTTCTACCCTTTTTTTTCTGCTTAGGTGCAGGTTCTTTTTCCACATCATAATCTGACAATAATATTGGAGATATTGTCTCAGGAGGTGGGGGACTTTTTGGACTTCTGGGTCTTTTGTCACGTTTATTTTTATCCTTTCTTTTTTTCTTTGGAGCGTGGGAGCTACCTGTTAATGTATCATCATCAATATGTACTCTGCGTCTTCTCTTAACTATCACTTCACGTTCTGGACTCTTCTCAACACTAACCACTGGACTTCTATTCCAATCGACTGGACTTATTCCTCTTTCCCTTTCATGATCCCAAAAGGGTGATTTCTCTCTAACAGCTGGTCTTTCTCTTTCAGATGACTTGTCTCGCCTTTTCTTTTTCGACTTTTGATGATCTTTTTCTTTTGATGGTGTTCTTCTTCTATCTTTAGATGAGTCCTTATGGTGGCTTCTAGAGCGATATGGTGATGAGCTCTGTGATTTTGACTTGTGTCTGCGCTTGCGACGTCCTCTGTCATGATCCCTCTCTACTGACTGTATTTCAGCGTCTGGTAACAATTCTTCTTCGAATCTGTAATCTCTGTCTCGATGTCTTTCAGAATGATGATCTCTTTCTTGTCTTTCTGATCTTGAATCTCTATCAGACCTCTGATCTCGTTCTGCTCGGTCAGAGCGATAGCCTCTTTCAACTCTGTCTTCTTTTTCTGATCTATAGTTCCTTTCCATTCTTACATCTCTCTCAGATCGCTCTCTTTCAAAACGAGATGTGCGTTGATCCCGCTCCCAATCTTTTTCATGATTTGAGTGAAAATCTCTATCAGATTTGTCTCTCCTGCTATATTTATCAGCACTACGTACAGGACTACCTCTATCATCTCTTCTAACTTTATCACTATCTCTTCTATCTCGACGTTCATGTCTATCACTTCTCTTATCTCTATCACTTCTAGAATGTTTACCTTCTAACATATCCATACGCGTCAACACACTGACAGAATATTCTGCAGGTTCAATATTTTTATGTTTCCTGGGTGTTTTACGACTAGTTGAATCCCTTGACTCTTTAGTTTTTCTTTCATCATCACTTGATCTGTGTTTGTGTTTGCGATGTCGTCTACGTTTGTGGTCTTTGCCATTTCTAGATTTGACTTCCCCTTCCTCTCCACTGTCATTACTGCTGGAACTTGAACTACTTTCGTCACTTGAATGATGCCTGCGATAAATACGACGTGAGCGTTTACCAACATCCCCATCTAGTAACTGACCAATGGAAATTCTGGGTGACCCTCTATCGGACCTTCTTCTTGAAAACTGACTCTTTTCTTTTTCTCTTGTCTTTTCTTCAATAATCTTGTTGATCACTTCTCTCGCATCTATCACTGGAGAATATTGAGCTACTGGCTCCTCAATGATTTCTCCTAAATCTGACGCATGATCTTCCTTTGTAATTTCTCCTTCTGATAAATTAAGTTCAGCACAAGGTGACCCATCTGGAGAAGGTACATCCATGTTCATCAACTCCTCTTCTAAAGTGTTTTCATCATTGAGTTCTGCACATACTGAACCTACAGGAGATACATCCAACTCCTCTAAATAGGCATCAGAATTATCCCCTACTTCATCAACAACTTCCATTCCAGTCATAGAATCCTCCGAATCAACATTGGGGGAAATTTTGGCTTCCTTCTTCTGGTCATCACCTTCAGACTTCTGTGAGAGTTTGTAACCTTTGTCATCTTTTTTCTCAACCAAATTTTGTGCGTCTTTACTCATATCTTTCTTTGTATGCTTAGGATTGATCATCTGATCCAAAGGTTTGGACTTCTTGTTACTTTTATCAGAATCAGATTTCCATGCACTAATTATTTCTGAATCAAATTCAGTTTCACTGTCAGTATATGGATCATCACGTTCATCTGCATATCTCTTCCTTTCATTCTCTGTAAGTACACCAGATGCATCAACAACATTTCTTTTTTTCTCAGAAGTTTTAGTCTCTTTCTTTTTAATATCCAGAGATACATCTGAATCTTGTTTATCTAAGTTTTTGGCTTCTTCAATAATAGGTTTATCTATAGAGTCTGGGGTTTGTTTTTTAACACAATCAATGGTTGCCTGTGCAATGACAGCCCCATTAGCTTTCGGAGATTTTTTTGACTGATCTTTCAGAGAAATAGCTTCTTTCCCTTCATTGTCTGAAAGGTTTAGCTCAGCACATGGGGAATCAGGTGGAGATGGAAGGTTATCAAGGTCTAAATGATCAGGATCAATATCAATTTTATCATCATCTTTGAAATGGCCGTTTTTCTCTATTTCACTATCAGACAAATTCAGTTCAGCACAAGGCGAGTCAGGTGGTGACATATTTGCATCATCAATATAGTCTAAATCCTCAGGAACAATTTCTTCCATACTCTGATGAGAACTGTGAGGAACTATATTGGAACAGTCTGTTAATTGGCTCAGTTGGCATTCCTTTCCTAGATTTTCTGACTTCTTATTTTTGGAGGGAGATTTAATTGAAGCAAATGATGGTATATTTACTCCATCCTCACTTTCTTTTTTATTCCTTTCAGTATCATTCTGAGGTTTTGATTCATGTGTTTGAAATTGTGATAATTTGCTTGCTTCGTCATTTTCTTTTGAGTCAGTTTTCTTTGCCTTTTCCGATTTTTCCTCAGAATTTGACTTGGTTTGTACCATGGTTGTCTCCTTAGAACACTCAGAATCATCAGGTTTATTCATCAATGAGGCCAAAAATTGGCTTGTTGAAGTAGTTTTAGTCTTTGTATCCTTTTGTTTCTTTATGTCACTTTCAGCTGGTTTCAGCGGTGTATCTCTATCTACTGAACCACCTGGCATACTCAGTGTTATACGTCCCATTCTTTCAGCATTAGTACTCAGTGGTAATGGTTTGATAGGTTTGGTTGATGTTAGAGAACCTGAAATAAAAAAATTTATATTTAAGTAGGTATTCAAATGACAAATAGAAAACTAGTGCTCAAATCTGCATCAAATAGAGATATGGTGAATCCATTCAGAATATGTCCAGCTGATTAAACAAAAATGTTTTAACAAGGTCTCAAATTTGTACTAGATCTTTGTTTTATGATGATGCATACACATGCCAAATTTTATCAAATTCAGTTAAAAACTGTTTCTAGAGCTTGTACAAGCAAATGTAGACATTGTTACAAAATCCAATCCATTAATATGGTTCTTTAATAAGCTTTTGCCATTTTACATTTGTTCTATTTATTGCTAAATATTATTTGTCTTACGTTGTGTTTCCATAACAAGTTTAACTTACCATCTCTCTGTATGGTAACATCTTTACTGTGTAAGTGAAGCTTTCCCTGACTGTGAATAATAGAACCAAGAATATCAAATGGACCACCTCTATGAACTCCAACTGGTGGTTGAATGACACTATTGACATCAGCTTCAGTAGTTTCTGGGGTATTGGATCGTTTTCTGAAATACATCAAGAGTTTGTTTTGTTAAAATGTTTCATAAAAGTATTTGGTACAGTTTTTCCCATGTGTATATTACGGAGTTATAAAATTACCTTGACCAAACTAAAAGATTGCTTAAATTTGAAATTATTCTTTTAACTTGTAGTACAGCTGTATGAACTCCTGTTTGAAAACACTATAAGAATATACAGTACTAAAACAGTTATTTAGTACCAAGAGTATACTTTTATAATGATAATAATTAACACAGTTTTGAACATACTCAACTAAAATCATAGTGTATAATTGAACAATATAATGTACTAACCGTCTCTGTACTGTAGCTGATAATTTAACAGGGCGATGTGATAATAAGGCTGACTTGGAATATTTACTACCAGTTTTAGAAGTACTATATGACTTAGATTTTACAGTAGGTGTTGACATTGGCATATCATGTGAATCCTCACTGAAATGTTAAACAAATGAAATGAAATGAAGTTTTACGTCCTACTCTACTATCTTGGACACGACCAAGTTAAAGTTACGCTATCATACGCTCATGGTCAGCGGTTGCCAGTGCATAGGTTTATATTATTCACTTCAGAGAGTAATCGCAATATAACAGCGCAATATGGTATAACATTTTCCACAGTTCAACTGTGTTGAACTTCTATATGAATTTGTACATGCCAGCGTTTCAACCAATCACAAGAAGCTATTAGACAACACAGACAATCAAATCTTCGAAATAGGTTGGTGCATGCAAGTGTCTGCAGATATGTGTATACACTTTGAACAATGACTCGAACGGGTGGTAAGGTTTGTTGGCAAACAAGTAACATTGCTAGCGTATTACTGTGTTTGAGGGTGTCAGAAGTATACTATGCAATTTGCAATGAGGAAAAATCAGGACAACAGTATTAGCCAATTATTTTCAATTTTCTTACTGCTGAGGTACTCCTAACAGGGCTCAGTTTTTTGTCCCATCTAAACTATTACACATTCCCTCCAACTTGCACCTGTTGGTAGGAAAATTGGGTGGGAAAATCTGGACAACTTAAGTAAGGAATAACAAAAGATTTTAACTTTTCAGTTTACATGATAAAAGTGACTGAACTTACTCTTGAAATCCTATTAACTCATTTCGACTACCTAGTAAAGAGAGTGATGAAGCTCCTACTTCATTGCGCTGTTCATCCAATGATTTTTCTCCTGCCTTTTTCTGGAGAGGTATTGTGCGACCAGTTGGTGGTTTAGACAAACCCAGGGTTGTTGCAATACGACCTTTGACACTTGTAATTTTCTTAACTTCACAAGTTTTTTTAGCCTGACATAAAAATAGTATAATGAAGTTTCAAAGAATACATTTCATACAGTATATCCCTACGTTTTTTAACTGTGAACACTGTTTCTTTCAACACAACATTATGATACGAGACCAACAGTTCATTAACCCATTCAACTCTAGCAGCCGGATTACCAGCCACACACTAACTATACAATATAATACCCAAGCAGCCAGTATAAGGACAGTTACTAAGTGACGTCATACAACGTTAAAGTCATACGCCTTTACTTATATATTACTTGGAGTTTAGGGTATGTGACGTTATATTTCATTTACACTCAGGGTTCAAAGGGTTAAAACAATAGCCTAAAACATATAATTAATACAATACAATTACCTTTCTCTTTTTGGTTTTCCTTTTCTTTGTTTTCCTCTTTTTTGTTTTACCAGTGGTAGATTTCTTTTTAGTTTTGGTCTTTCTCTTTCTTCTTTTTTTAGTTGTCTTTTTCTTACTGCCTGGCTTGCGCTTCCTGGTTGTTTTTTTCTTTGGAGTTTTTTGTGTTGAAGCAGTGCTTGTATTAGCTGTGGTTGAATCAGAAACTGATGAAGTAGTTGGGATCATGGCTGATGTGGATGCAATCTGGGCTATTGATGAGGAAGCAGTATCTTTAGATATAGAGGTATTTGAAGAACCAGTCGTCATTGCCTCACTCTCTTGTTCTTCTCCTTCTTCTTCATCACCTTCTTCTTCCTAGAGTCAAACAATGCATACATAAGTAAATTTAAAAATTCAAACTTTTATTAGCTTCAACTAACTAAATGACAATTTTTAGTCTGAAAGAATCCACTGATTGGGAGTGGATAGTTATGATCCTACAACAACCAATTATAGACTGTATAATATACTGGGGACAAACTAACCTAAAGTCTAAAGTGACAGCAATGAAGGTGAGTAAAAATAATTCTCAATCAAGAAATAAACCTAAATCTATACCTCAGAGGATGTCCACAGGCCATGTCTTTGAGCTCTATGTTGTTGAATTCTAGCTCTAACCCTTTCACTGACTCTAGTTCTAGCTATACGACGTTGATATCTTAATCTTCTAGTCAGAGGTTGATTCTCTGCTATAATATGTCTAACTTCATCATTATCATCTACAACTTCTGCCATACCTACATAATCAAGTCAATTGATATTAAGTATCTTGCTCAGTAAAGTAACAGAATTCCATGAAAACATTGACAAAATTATATCATTATCATACAGAAGTTAAAAAAAATCTTTCAATATCAAGAAAATTTTGCGAAAAATTATATCAACATCATCACATTTAAAATAAAGATCTAATACCTTCTCTGTTGGCACAATCTGGACAAAACCATTCCTCTACGGGTATTTCAGATAATGGTGGACTTAAACATTCACAGTGGTACCTGAAAAAAAATATGATTAGTGTTCTATTAAATTTTACTCAAAACAAGTATTATATACACATAAAACTTGATATCATCAAAATGCAAACGAAATGAAAAAAGTTAAACATAAACATGACAGTATCAAGATGTTGACAATTCATCAACAGTATATTATATGAAATGTATATCATTGCAACTTTGAAGGGGAAGGGTAACTTTTTGTCTTTTATCCAATATTGTGACTGCATAATAGAGGGGGAAGAGTTTTCTGGCCTACTCATGAAAACAATGATAGCTTCTATTTATTTTATTGATTACAATAATTTTTCTGATAGAACTACAATGTATAACGGCCAACACAAGATATTTGACATTACATATAGCACCTGTATAAATGGATCTTTTCTGGTCTTTCTATATTAGTACTGGCATGATATATCCGTGTTTCGCGATACAACGAGTCACGATGCCTTTATCATATCGTGACATTGTGTATCGATACCTTTTATTCCATAAAAAAGTGTTGATTTTTATAAGTTGGTTTATGATATAACAATTTTTCATGGAAATTGTTAGAAACTTTTTATAAGACAGTCGATGCCAACTACTTCTATCAACTATATTACCAAATATCACAGTTATAAAGTTATAAATCAATAAATATTGAAAATTTGAAGATCCTAATATACCCCATATCGCGATATGTATCGTATCTTAACCCTTGTATCCTGACATGATTGACGATACCCAGCACTAATCTATATATGACAACCAGCAATGCTACAGATGAATTCAATATTTATTAGGCAATAAGATATATGAATAGTTCCGTCCTTTTCACTTACCCTAAGTCACAACCATCACATAACAATAATCTATCTTCTCTATCACTATGACCACACACTTCACAAGCTGTTTCATCTACTTCTTCTTCTTCCTCTTCAGCTTGTTGATTTCTATCTTCAACCGAGATCTATCATATAATAATCATGACAAACATTATTGATGTTGTTTTGATCAATATCCTTATAAGGTTTGGCAAAGTATCAACATACAAATTTCACGTTGGTAATTATCTACAAATCTAACAAACTACCAAAAGTAGTATAAAGGTGATAAAAATTTATCGTAATAATGTGTACTCTTTTGAAAAGTAACTGCTGAGGGATATAATGGAAAAGAGATTTTCTAGGTCTTTTGTCAAAAGCAATGTTACTGATACATATGCACATACAATGTCTTATGAAAAATAATTCCAGCATCCAAATGTATTTGATCAATAAATAAATAAAAAAAGAAAAAAAAAGATTAAATTGGCTTGAATCTTACCCTATCAAACACTTTATCTTCACCTGGTTTTTTAACAATAATCAAATGGTAAACCTGTCTATCAACTGGACATGTATTCACATTCTGAAACAATTAGTATAATATGAATAAATGAGATAAATACCTGATATTAAGGCATGTATAATCATTTCTCAATAACAATTCAAAGTCCTTTAGAAAGGTTGAAAGATTAATATCCTACCTTTGACCACTCTTGAATACATTCTAAACAGAATGTATGATCACAAGACTCTGGTGTACCAATGTCCTGATCTTTAAATTTTCCGAGACAAATTGGACAGCTTTCAGTTTCTTCCCCATCAGACTCACTGAGAACTTGAGACTCTTCATCTTCATCATCACTATCATCCTCATCATCACTATCATCATCACTTTCCTCACCATCATCATCATCGTCATCAACTTCTTCATCATTGTCTCCACTTTCCCAATCTGTAAATAAATAGAAATCTTACAAAATATTGCAATTTAATAAATAATTGTCTTGAAATTGTTACTGATTTTCACTATCTTTTGTATTATAATTTGTATTTAATACATGTATATATCAAAATGCATCTATAAAGCATTCATTGTTTTATTGTTTGGTGAAAATTACAGTAAATCTATTTGAAGGTAAGTAATGCAACTTCTTTTTAATAAAGGCAATTGTACGGATGAAAATTGACCCAAGCACAATCTGCTCAATAATAAGCATTTTTAATTAATGAATGTGTATATTACTATTGGAAATAACATCCAAACGTAGTCAGTAAATCATGCAGATCAATCTAAACTAACCAATGTAACTAATAAATTTTCCTAATCGAACAATAGCTGCAAAGATTCTTGAAGTTCGGATTCACTTACTAACACTAAACGATACTCATCCAACGATACGATTTATTGCGATTAATCATGATTCATTTATTAGACAGGGAACGCGAAAAAAACAGTAAAATATTTAAAATCATAACAATTGTCACTATGCTATTAATTAAGCACATTAGAACATTTAGAAGTAAAGGATTGTGAAAAAAAATACTTAATTTTCATAGTCAAAATTGTTTTTTTCAAATTTTTGTTGTATCGTTGGTTATTAAAGGGATTAAGTAAATAATTGTGCCAATAAATCACAATTAATTTCATCCACTTACCTCCATCATCATCATCATCATCATCATCATCATCATCTTCATCATCATCATCATCCTCGTCATCATTCTTATCATCATTATCAGCAGCATCTTCACAGCCAAAAGTCGTTTCTGTTTTATCTCCTAATTTTTCTTTTTTATCAACATCCATCTTGTCTTCAGATTCTTTTTCCATCTTTTCCCTTGCTTCCATGGCCTTCTTAAAAAAATATTGAAAAATAGGCTAATCAAATGTTTTTTGTGTGAAATGTTGTGTAAATAGAATAGATAGGATAGAATCCTCAAAATACTTGGCAACCATTTGCAATAAATAAGCTTGAAAATCAAACTGTTAGGGCTGGGCAAATTTGGTCAAAAGCAATATTAGAGCTGATGATAATTTGCTTCTAATCTTACATCACAATTTTCTGCCACGTTGTATGACAGAAAGGTAAAAAAGGTAAAAAAAATAAAAGGATTTTTATAAATATTTTCTATCAAAAAATTGTTGTATCTTCTTTTTTTTGTCAGCTTAGTCAATTTCTTTCATTGTGATGTAATATTGTGTTTTTTTCAATGCATAAGCATATTGATAAAAATTTTAAAGTTTAGTTTTGTTTGAAATCAGGGACGGTGCTATCACAGTAAATTCTCAGGTCAAAGGTAGCAGCATATTGTTTGAGGTTGACTGAATTACCCTAAGTTGATGGATGCCTACTTAAAGTGATACTACGTCTTAGAATACACTCACCCTGTGGCTAATATTTGTGTTTAATAGTGACCATTGGTTAAATAAGTATGTATCCTACAATAAAACTATAATCATAATTTTTAAAAAAAGTCAGCAAGCCATTAATTCGTTAAGGTTGAGAAAAAAAGAGTCTTGGTAATCAATGCTAAAACATGAAACAATTATCTTCTGGTGTATACAAACAAACTTTGCCAATGATTAATATTCGTTGAAAATTGTGTCAGTGGTGGAGTATTCATTCTAAATTATATGAATTGCTTTTTCACGGAGTCGCTTAATCTCCTACGAGGCATCAATATTCCGTCTTCAAAATATGACAATGTCGAGGTCAATTCAAGAGTAGAGGCCAAGGACGCGGGAAACCCCATTTGAGAGTTACTCCACTTGAAAATTACACCGGATTTCCTAGACTGACGATTTGAAAATCGCTAAATGGATGTATCAAGCGTTTTATAATTAGTTACTTGATTTTGTGGATATATTGGATTATAGAGGGATTTTGATGTATAGTTAGGACACCAGGTAAGTCCACTGATGGATATATACTGTTATTGGAATTTTAAAATTAAAATTTTTATGTTCATCCTAAGATGTAGTATCCCTTTAAATTAGATGTATTGGTTATTGATAATTAAATTAGTACCGTACTTTAATGAAAGGGCCTAATATTTACTAATAAAAGAAAATTCTATGAAAAGTGATGAAAGTTAAACAAGTATTGGGTCGAGTTCCCACCATAGGTCCACTTGACATGACCCATATTTATTTATTAATATGAAACAAAATAGCAACCTTCAACCACATTCTTTTGAAAATGACTATTGTTACAGATTGTTACAGATTGTTTAGGCAAGAGTAAGGTAGGGACAGCCATATCTTGCTTGTGATAAGGAACAGATATTTTCTGTGTGAAACAAAAGATATGTGTAGTCTGATAAAATAGCAGGAAGCTTGAATATTTTAACATATAGTGATTTATTATGTCGAAAAAGGTTGATTTGCAAGATCTCATAACATGTTTTTGGAATAAAAACATCAAGGAAGAACAATATTTCAACGCAACCAAATTGGCTGCTTTAAAATAAGCTATTTTCAGATACGATTCCCTGTCCCAATTACTGGGACTGGATGCATGTCTATATAATTGGGTAGGTAATGGAAGTAATGGAAGGGATAGCCATTATTATAGATTATTACTATTATTAGTCTACTATAAGTTATCTTGTTGAAGATAGTGCAGCTTCCTTTAAAGTTCTTATCAGGGAGCTTTGAGGTTAGGAACAGTTTTTGCTGTATCAATCAATATGTGAAGTCTGCCGAAAATTTATTTAATATCAATAACGGTTATATTGACGTCCTGTGCCTTTTTTCATTTTCATTCACACCAACTACTACCATATTCTTTGTTATATTGAAATTAATGGTCTTCCGTTCTTTAGATTAAATTTATACAAATGAAACATCGAAATTATTCTTACTTCTTGCGTATTCTTGAAGTTTACTTTAAAATCTAACAAATAATTCAATCTTTAATGTTTTGGTGTCCACCATATTGAATTTCGACAGTCCCCGGATGAATCCCATCTGTCAAATTCATTAGTTTCGTACCCTGTTAAGGTTTGCTTTTCGGTTACAAAATTTCCTAAATTTCTCGTCTTCGCACTCTACTGTATTTTATTGCAACCTATGGTTAATACACAAATAGTACAAAGAATGGAAATTGATTTTTATTTCCAAGTTTTTCTTTAGGCAATATCGTAGTCTTGAATAACAAGACTTGCGACTGGTTAATCTAGTTAGCTCATTCGGCTCGACGAGTATAATACGACAGGCCATGATTGTGGCCGAGATCCACAACTACCAAACCAACAACAACCAGAAGATTGAATTAGTATGGGTTCCATCGCACGTCTCCATTCCTGGCAACGATCAAGCAGACCGTTGTGCCAAAGAAAGTCTGAGTCTGGAGGATATCGAGCCTGTAGAATACTCCTATTCGGAGTTCTGCAGTATCGTATCTTCTAGGATCAACCAGAAATGGTCTGACATGTTACGGAACCTCGACACCGCAAGATACCAGATTGATCCGAAGATACCAAACCAAACCAAACCAAACCATCCATGTGTAGCCATCTGCAAAGTGGCAACCAGACTCCGGACCAACAACGTACTACGAGACCATCAGTTCAACGCCATTAAATGTCGCTGCGGCCACGTTGCCACAAGGTCGCATATCCTCATTCAATGCACTGAATTGAAACCCGCTCGTAAGCCACTACTAGAGTACCTGGAAACCAACGGCATACCACTAACCATACAGAATGTTTTGGCTCCACCCACGGACCACTGGTATACGATAATGGAACTAGTCTTCCATTTTATAACCAAATCTGTCTTGAACAGATAGGCTAAGATTTTTTTTTATCAAAGTTTCTTAACACTTTTTAATTATATCCAATCACTTAA